ATCAATGCAAGAAAGAAAATTTGAGTTGTGGTTTGCTCTTAGCTTTCTTTTCCCTTTCATAATACTGACAATGCAAAAGCAACTGACACCAATCTAATGTAGAAATCTCAATCTGCACCAATATTTCTGCCCACATTGCACCACAGGACAGTCTGATTGGACGATTCCCTATAAATTCTGTTATCACCACCCGTCCAGAAATGAATCCAGGGAGGGATGGACAGTGGGTGGACTGTGGGGGGATTTCTTTCTGTTGCGGGGGGTGGAGACTATTTGGAAAAAAAAAAAAATCATTTGGATGGTGGCCCCCCCTCCGGCTGAGGCTGTCTGGCAGCGGATCAGACTGGTTCCTCTACAGTCCAAGGCTCCCTTTCTCTGACCCGTCATTCCTGACGTCCCAGAGAACTGACGCAGCTACAAAAACAGCCTCTGGTCCTGCTGGTGAGAATTGGGCAAAGATCGTGACTCACATTCTTAGACACACACACACAAACACACACACACGCACACACCAACACAAAATGCAATGACACTCACTCACTGTACTCTAGCCAGCTTGGGAGAGCCAAGAAGATACAGTAAAGATGAGAAAAGACATGATAAGATGATCTTGATGTATAAAGTGTCTCAAACGTCCATACAGCATGTGTTCCTGCATTGAATCATGCCTTTGAACTTAAGCCTTTTTGATGATCTGTAAAATAATACGTAGTACTGCGACAGAAGAAACCACATCATTCACCTGTGCAGTGAAAGGTGCATATAATGGTGCATTGTTCAAACACACAGCTTTGAAAATAGGTCCTGAAGCCAAACGTGTTTTCAGAAATTCAAATATCTGCACTCAGGCTAACTTCTTGCACACGTCTGCCTCCACATGAAGCACAAACAAAAGGATAACTTCTTTTGTAAGCGTGCACAAATGCAACCACTGTTTGCTCCAATAATATCACAAGTTTTAGAGCAGGTGGCATAAAGGTTCAGCAGACACCTCAGGCAACGACAGTCATCACATCGAGTTTTCCCAGTGTCAGTGAGGTGGGACAAAAGCAGTGCATCTAGTCCCGTGTTTTTCTCCAGGGTGGATTCTTGTTGGATGATGGATGAAGCAGTGTCCTCCTGTTTCCCTCTGATGTTTGGGCTCTGGATTATCCCTCAGCTCGGCGTGGTTTGTTTCTGGTGGATTCTGCTCTAATCTCAGAGGCTTCTGTCACACTGCGATGAAAGACGGCCTGTTGGTATTGGCTGAAGGCTGAGGCTGACTCACAGGGGCAGGTGTATCATGACACAACAAGCCGAGCCTTAAAGGGCATTTACATCCTCTATTATATCTGCCAGAAATGCAAACAGTATGAAATTCTATGGTGTTCATAAAAAACAAAAAACAAAACCTAGCTGACAGGGATTTTTCCACCTCAGTCAACCCCTGGAAGAAAATAAATACAATGCTATCTAATCTTACAAATCCTGATTTTGCAACAACTAATCTTTAATTTACAGAGTTCTGCTTTTTAACCTCTTCTTGAATCATTTTGAAGGTTGACTGTTAAAAAACATGCTGTATTCTTAGTTGCAGAATTTACAAACCTGACAAGTTTAGCCTCAGTTGATAAGCCTGTATGTGATCAAGATGTCTTCATGTTCCATCCTTAAAACAACAGACGTCAGTGGAAAAATGTGGGCAAAAAATACATCACAAAACAAGACATGTCCTTTAAGTAAATGCCTGCCTCTTGAATCATCCTTTACGATCTAAACCAACATTTGAACAACCTGCTGTGGCGTGTACACGCTACAGGAACATGTCTATGAACACCTGCATACTACAGGTGTGTTTGAGCGCTTTAGAGGAGAAGTATCATCCACTTTTTTCTTACATTCACCAATAAAGCTCTGACAATTCTTCATACGTGTGTGACAAGAACCTTAAAACCAAATGGTAAATCAGAAGTCTTACCAACAGCCAAATAATTTCTCCAGATAGTCATTTTTGTTTGGGTGTACAGATTAAGGTTTTCTTGATAATATAGATAAAACGATCAAGACTGGCAGTTGGTTAATTATATAAATAATCCAGCAGTAACGGGTGGGACACACGAGTGGGTTTTCACAACCTGCTGCCTCACAGTGTGACGCCACTAATCCTGCCAGACAACTCCTGTATCTTCTGCTGGTCAGAGAACAACATGTTTTGATCACAGCCATAGAACGTTACTCTTCAGAACATACACTGATTCATGTCAGGGCGGGGGAGTCCTCTAACTGCCGGGGTGTGATGGGTAAACAGTTGCTCTAGTGGTGGTTGGTGGTCTGCAGTGTTCAGTGGTTTACTGGGGATCCGCTACTCCTGGGAGCAGTCCTGAAGAGGAGGGGATTACCTCAATCCTCTCCCTGCTTCACCCCTTCCAGCTCCACACTTCAGATTCAAACAAAAGCTGAGGGGCTGTGGGCCTCAGGCCCCTGGCGGGCTGCTAATCCCATTCCAGCTGGACAACAATCCGTCTGGCCGGTGGCCCCTGCAGGGCTGTAAGCCCCAGTAAGAGGCTTGGAGGAGAAGTCAGACAGCTCATCAAGGATGAGGACTTAATTAGCCTTGCAAAGTCAACCTGGCTAATTGAAAAGATTTGACCATCCGCAGGAGCAGAGGAGTGGAAGAGAGCATTTTTGTCTTTTTTTTCCCCACATTGTTCCAGGTGTCCAGTTGCCAAGCAAAGAAAAATGCCAGGGATGAGGTGCCCCTGCTGCTTCAGAGCTGGCAATGTGAAAAAAGGCCTGCTTGTAAGGTTAATTGGGCTGGTCACAGTGCCAAGATAAAGTATGGGGGAACATGTCTTGAGGTGTTTTGCTGGATGTGAGTTTAATCTTTCATGACGGGCTTTATCGGCAGGGTCAGGGGTGGAGTTCTGGGAGTGATTCGACATGCTGCTTTTATTAGACGGCGCAATAAAACAGGACAGACTGAGTGTGCATGGGTATCAATTTGACATTTTATTCACATCTGCATCCATGAAAGTATTTGTGTATTCGTCTCTTCACCAGTTTAAAGTGTGCCAACACACCCTCAAGAGTTTTTTGGCTGAGATGAATATTTCTGGTAAGTTTGTGTATCCACATTGAGCTGATGTCAAAACTCTGACGGCACTCGATAACAGACACAGCACACACACACCTTGTGGAAATAAAACAGAAACTCTCCTGACCCCCCCTTCTCTCTCCGCTCTCCATCAACACTCTGTTTGAGCATGCCATCGCTGCTCCAGCATAATGTGTTTAGAAATGTTGCACTCCCTCAACCTCTCCAACTAATGCATTTTGCTACACGACCCCCATCTCTCTTATCCCTGTGTTTGAATACACCACTTCTCCCAAAACACCGTGTGTTTAAAGAATGCCACACTCAACCTCTCAGGCTGGATCGCTCTAACGTGTTTGAGAGCACAGGCTGCCTCTTTCTTTGTGTAATTTGTTTGACGATGCTCGCCTCTCCGACGCCACTTATACCTAATGTGTTCGAGCGTCGACAGAACTGCATTCACACAGCAGTGAAGTGATATAGCACACATTCACAGAAATCGTTTCTACATTCAGCATATGACTAATTAAGCTGAAAGCGGAGTAAAAAAAACCCACTACATTAGGCAGCAGTTAGTTGTGCATAAAATTACAATCTGGGCTTGATTCAATATTGTGAGAAGATGCAAGTCTTAAGACTGAAAGTCTTAAAAAATACAGTTCCAAATCAAAAATACAAAAATTTGCTTAACATTTTTTAGATTTTGTCAAATTTATGGGGTTAGTTTTAATATCAAAATTCTCACTAATTTGTACTTTTAAGATAGCAAAACAGCATTAAGGAAATGCAAATATTTGATCTTAAAGGGATTAAGAGGAAAGTAAAAATGTAAAGATGTTTTGCACTTGGCCATACCATCAACAACCTCAATTCCAAATCAAAACAGGTCTTTACTAAAAGTTAAAATTGCCCAAAGACTGCATTGTAAATGTTAAAACTGATTTCCTTTCATGAAAAAAACTCAACTTTGAAGGATGTAGCACGTTTAAAGAAAGTTGTGCAAAGTTGAAATAAATGTCTGGAAGTAAATCTATCAAATCTACATTTAAAAAAAATGAAAACAAGACTTGGTAATGAAAATCACTGCATTGGCCCTGCATTTGTCTACTCCATTATTTAGAAACTGCACTTTAGTTTGTCTTTGCATCCACAATTGCCAGTTAAACGTGATCCAGTGAAAATGGAGACTTCTGTGGTACAAGTTAATTTGAGATGATCTGAGCTGAACTGGACTTACTCATCAAAATTTGGCATTCGCAAAGCATGAAGTTGGATGGCACCATTAATGGTGAACATTAGGATTTTTGGGCGAAATTTGCCATTCCAGGTAAAATCGTGCATTTTTTTTGCAAGACGATACCAAACCGCATTCTCCATATATTACAACATCACAGCATTGTTGTAAAAGAGTCAGGAGGCCAAACTGGCTTGCCTGCAATTCCAGCTTGTCACCCATTGAAACACTTGATTCATCATGAAACAATGAATAACAAAAGGAGACCCTTAACCGAGCGGCTGAAATCCTACACCAGGCAAGAACGGGTCAACATTTCAATTTCGAAACTTAAGAATCTGGTCTCCTTGATACACAAATGTTTCCCTTGTTACGAAAGAAGAGGTGATACAACACAATGGTAAATATTCCCATGCTCTGACTTTAGTTGAAACATGTCACTGATTTAGATTTCAAATGAGCATATACCTTAAATAATATAATGACAATTGTTCTTTTTACTGTTGTCAATTATATTTTAAGTTGAAAAACCCACACAACACTTTTAAGTTGGGTCTTTCTTTCACAACATTTTTCCGCTTTGTCGACTCAAATCTATCTTTCAGTTAATCTCCCCCCTGTCTCTGTCTGTCCGTCTCCCTTGAAATCCTTACTTTGATCCATGTCTTTGTTTCCCTCTGGCTTCCTGGGAGTAAACACAGCACTGACCCGGAGCAGCAGAAGCCGATCACCCACAGCTACGATGCCAATGGGCTTCACGGGGCGATGATACCGCGCAAGATGTGGTCATACAGGATTAGCCAGCTCTCCGCACATGGAACCATCACTCATGGGTGAGGACAGCTGAGAGTAACGGCAGATTCAACTGAAAATGATTTAACAACTCTAGAGCTCTCTTTTTCTCTTTAAGTGTACAGTGTGTGGCCTTATGGCTGCCGTTGTTTAAAGAGGCGAAACAGGCTTAGCTTTATGATCCATGTGTATCTGCCTAATTTATCCAAAGAATTAGAGCATATCCCCTTCACATGTGCAAATAATCAGTTGGCACTCAGTTTGTTATTATCACAGTAATCTCTTGTCTGTTTAATATCAAATGCAATGCTTCTGGAATCAGCTGAAATAACACTGCCCGTGTTTCAAGCAATTAACCTTTTCCACTGTAGGAACGCCTCAGGGGGGGACAGAGGAACTGGAGTGGGGATGAATGTCTGCCATCCACACGAGGAGAGGACATGGCACGTTTCAGGGAGGCCCCGAGAACTCCTGTGTGGTGTGTGGGTGTGTGTGTGTGTGTGTGTGTGTGTGTGTGTGTGCTGAAGGATGAGAGACAAATGCAAAAGAAATCAGTGTGGTCTCCAAAGCGTTGTTTGGAGGTAATACAATGGGGGAGGGGTGGAAGGTGGTGGTTGTGGGGGAGAAAGGGAGGTAAGATATTAATAAAAACTAAATCAGTCAGCCTTGACATAAACACCCCTTTGTTCTTTGATGTGACAGCAGCAGCCACACAGTCAGTAATGTGATACATCATGCACAGGACCGCTCAAACCCCCCCTTATAACGACCACATATCCACATGTTCTCTCTGGCTCTGTCTGAAACTCTCACACACACATATACACACTTTGAGGCTTAATATCCCCTACCTAGAAGCCCTAATATCCAGGGCTTGATAATAGAGCACTGTGTCTGATTCATGTCTGCAGGAAGGAGCCATGAAATTACCTTCCTATGCATCAGGGGGCCACAGCGTAAAGCTGCACCTCAATCACCCAGAGAATAAGGCCTATTGTTACAAGCCAGAGCTCTTGAGAAAGTAAGTGATCCGACTTAAAAAAAAAGAAAAGAAAAAGATGATAAGCGTTGATATCCCTGAATCGTAGGACTGTCGCTGGGTGTTAGAGCTTTGGAGAAATCCAGGTCAAGCTCTCTGCGTGTCTTTAAAATCTCAGGCGAAATTCTTCAGCGTGATTATACATTAACCCTCAAGTGCAGAAGAAGCTCTAATGTTTAAAGAGGGTAAGTTTTCACTCAGTTTCAGTCGGGGTTATCTTGCTTTTGTCTCCTTGGAAGCCATAGTTTAAGTTGGGTTGAGGCTCTGAAAGTTGGCAGGCAAAAACAACTATTCTCCCTTTTCAATACGTCATAATAATAGCAATAGTAGAAATAATAATGATAATATATAAGAGATTCATACAACCATGTTCGAATGTCATGCTCACAGGCCACCGGTACTCAGCAGGACTTGTAATATGCGGCATTGATTGCATGTTGTATACACACTGCAAAACCACGATATTGTGAATGAATGCTAACGTTAAAGCTCCTATGAGGACTTTTCTGACATTTATGAAATAGACTGAAATTCATTCTGAAGACCTTTTGTGAAATATAAACACAAACAAGAACTTCAGAAACAAGATAAAGGATTTTTTTTCTGTGTTTTTTATTGCCCAAACTAACCACTGCATGGAGTTAGGTGTTACCCATAGACTGTATATACTAAGGGCAATTCGGTTTCTGCCTTCTGCCAGTATACGGAATTGAAGCCAAAAAGCTCTCGGTATTCCCGCGATTTTTCTCCATTTCCTGAAATCAACATTGCGCAGTAGCGTTGTATGAATTCGGCGGAGAGTCGCTGTGATGACGCTCGGCTCAAACAGCGTATCCCCTGAGAGATAAGAATTGAGAATTTCCCAGCTTGGGATCAATAAAGTATATCTCTCTATCTATCTATCTAAACAGACGTTTTTTTAGAATTTTCATCTAAAATCAACTGTTAGCGAGAAAAATAGCAAACCAGCCAACTTTTAGATCCTGTTACTTTTAGCATTTTTACACTTTTCATGGCTCACACTGCCGAAGTGAAATCAAGCTAGAAGGTCAACTGTTTATGTCAGCTGTTGTCTTATTCTAGTAAGTTATTCCAAATATATGGAAATATGGTCCCATGTCTCTGCAAATGTTCCACTATCTTTTTATTGGTTTGTCAGGTTTCCTACATTCCCTGTTTTCCCAAGACACAGCAGTATGACAGACTCGAGCATCTCAGCTCTCCACCCTGCGCTCGAAGACACAGGAGAATAGCCTCCCTGTGAATATGGTTAAATGGCATGTTACATTGAAACAGTGGCATTCGATGACCCCAAGCACCGCAGGTAAAAAGAAAATAAAAAGGGTCACAGTTTCCTTTCTGCTTGAAAGGTCTCTAATGGCCAGAGGTCAGCGAGTCATGTTTGTGCTGCCTGGAGAGAATAACAATAGAGGTGGGTGGCGATGGACACAGGCAGGCAGGTAGACAGATAATTAGATGGATGAGTCGACAAAGAGCTGAATCTTATCAGTGAGGAACAACAGGGAAGCACACAATGCTGGGTTGGATCACCATGTCCTAGTCTCTTTGTTGGATCCACAGAGGCACATGCTCATTAGAAGATTTGTCCTACATTCAGAGTGTGAAAAAATGGTAACTCTTCACCAGAGATGGAAAAACAAATGGGCTTAATATGTGCACAAATAGTCTGGGATGTGTCTCACTGGAACCAGTGAAAAGAAAAAAGTACTTATCCTACTTTACACGTGACTGTGTGCAAACCTAAATCACTGAGAATTTTTAGTACCCTGTGTTTAAATATGTGGAATTCTGGACCAAAGGGACCAGATCTGACTCTGAGAGAGTATAAAATTCAGCCCAGAGAGGATTAGGATGATTTTTTGATAGGATGAAATTATTAACAGGGACATCACTTATTCAATTTTAAAGGAAAGAGGATGAATGAACCAAGAGGTTGATTCAGGTCTTCGGAGCAGATGCTATTCTCGTCTCTTGGTGCTCGTAAGAAGAACAACTCATTTTACTGAATCTGACACGGCCAAAATTCACCTATAAACTTTTATTTTATCAGATTCGATGTCGGATTTTTCTTTTAATCTTAGTGTTACTGAAACTGACGCAATGCTTCACAAATTTGGACTGGTAGTGTTGAAATAAATGAGTCAACATGCAATCACTGACAAATGCTGTTTTGTACTGTTTTGGAGTAAATATAACTCCACTTGATCCGTGCAGTATTGTTTCTTGTTAGTCAGCAGTCTTGGTCATTTATTTTTGATTAGGTCATGCATAATTATGTGAAACTGTAAAAGATGTTTTAAGTGTTTGTACTGAAAAAATGTACCACATGGAAAAAGCTGCAGAGCTTGATTAATGACATGAATCAAGGGCCCTGAGTTTTATCCTTTCCAGCTTAAATAAATGTTAACTTAATGACCAAAGCAGGAACAATAATTCCCTGAATAATCAATGTCTGGATCCGGGCTGATGAGTTCTGTTGAAGGGACAAGATTGTGCGCAGGGATTGATCAGAAACTTTGATTAACAGTGAGCGACATGCACCCGACATGAGTCGATCCTGAACCAGGACTGACATTGACCCAGTCCCCTCTCTGCAGGAGTCCTGTGTGCAACGAAGTCCATCATCACTGTCATCAATAGTCAAAGCCCCCGTGGGCAAAATGTGAGTGAATCGATTATGGCGAGCACACGCTGAGCATTAATTTTGGATGCAGTAGACCTCGTCCAAAAACCCACATCCATCACACTGCTGCTTGTGTTATCAATTCTCCATTCGAGCTAGATTAAAGGTCAGCAGAGTCTGAGTAAAACATTTGGCCTCATTACATACATGGTTACTCTAAGATTTGACTGAAAACAGACATGACTGTGACTTTCATTAAAGTAAGAACTGACTGAGAGGAGAGCAGAAGTCTAATCTTGTGTTGTAAGTAAAACTGAACCAATCTTGGGAGTGACTGTAATTGGACTTCTTTTTCCAGCTTTCTTCTACCTCACTAATCCCTGTCTGTTTGCTTCAAGGCCTTACCAACCGGTCTCCTGGAAACAATGTTTCTACATTCACAACAACTCACTGAAGATGTTTTATTAAAGGGATATTTCAGGTTTTTTTAAAGCAAGTTTGTTTGAGTTACATTTAGTGTTGGGCGGTATGACAGTATAAACAGGGTAACGGTATAAAAGTGTCTTCCTGTAGAAATTTTGCTATAATACTCTTGATACCAGAGAGAGAGTTGTCTGCACTCAATTGGGTGTGTTTCCGTATATTCATCAGCATGTCGTCCGGAGTTTGTTCATTCTATTTGATTGGTCAGGTTTGGGTGTGTGTCCAGCAGACTGCTTGGCATAGTTTTGACGAAGAGGAAACCGCTTCACTGGAGGTGGTCATGGCAGACATGGAGATTAGTGGCGGTACGGAGCAAACGGAGGCAGCCCGACCCACCAAACACGAGGAAGAGGAGGAGGAACTTGTTCCGAAAAAGGGCTCGAGTCACGACATCGGTTGTCTGGAGATTCTTCGGATTTAGAAAATCCGACAATGATCAAAAATCAATACTATGCAAAGAGTGTTGTGTGGCTGTCGTTGCTGGAGGTGGAAACACCGGCAACCTTTTCCACCACCTAAAGATGAAACATGCCAAGCTCCATTATGAGAGCCAAAAGATGTGTGGCGCACCCGCTGCACCAAAAACTAAAGTTGCAGCAGCTCCTCTCCTACAAAAGAGCTTGGAAGAGTTTTTCACCAAAGGTACGCCACATGATAAAAAATCAGCAGACTGGTCTGGCATTCTGTTTAGAGAAAATGCCGGTAGATGTTTCAGTATTTTTGACAGACAGGGCTGACTCTGCCATGTCATTTTACTGGTTTTGATGGATATTTACCCAAGTACTCATATCGGCTTAAGCGTTCACTCTACTGAGAAATTTATCGGCACTCTGCCATCACAAGGTCCATTTGATTTTGCACTATTTTACAGAGGCGACACAGACATGCTCCTTCCCCTCAAGGAAAGAGTAGACCCTTCCACTTAAGATCAGGGGCCTCATGTATCAACACTTGCGTGGAACTCATACCAGAAACGAGCGCACGCAAGGTCCGTCACGCTGAAAAAAATCCGTATGTATCAATGTGTGCGGGCGCCGAAATCCACGTGTGTTTCCTTGATAAATCCCAATCAGCGTGGAATTGAGCGCAGATGTCGGAGTGACTGGGCCCGTCCCCGTTACGCCCTCCTATAAATATGCAGATTTATTTAAATAGGGTCTCCCTGTCCTCGCACGCAGACAAAATGACAAGAAAAACTAAATTTACGGCGTGCGAGGTGGAGGTGCTGGTGGCGGAGGTGGAGGAGCGACAGTGTGTTTTGTTTGGCAGACTGTCCAGTGGCGTCAGTGCAAAACAAAAACGCTTGGAGTGGGAGAAAGTTTGCGAGAGGGTGAATGCGGTGGGTTCCGGGACACGCACCCCCGCGAAGATTAAAAAAAAGTGGTCGGACCTCAAGGTGGAGGTCAAGCGGCGTACAGCTGCCCTCCGGAGGAGTACTGGCCAGACAGGTGGGGGTCCGGGGGAGGAGACCCTCACACCGTTTGAGCAGCGGGTGGTGGCGATTATTATTATAGGGTAAGTGGCGTGTCACACAAATGTCCACATGCTTTGTCATCCCACTGAGCAAAAGACGTATATTAGACGTCTAGTCTAAGTTTATACTTCATTTCAACGTCGGGATTCAGTCTATTTCTAGACGTGATTTATACTTCGCCCTTAACTTCATTTTTCGATAACTTTTTATGCAATAAACAACTGTAATGTGCATAACTGACCTCGAAATACTGGATTACATTACCTATGATACCGTGGAGAGAGATGTAAACGCAACAGATACACAGAAGCAGGAATTGAAATGAACAAATATTTTTATTGTGTCACAGAAATTAATGTGTCGGCCGTGTCGCCGTCTTGCGGAACCCCGGCCCGCGGCAGCCCATCCGCCGGCTCGGAGTCGTCGGCCAGGACCAGCGGCATTCGGGCCACCCCGGCCCCCGGCCCCAGCACCAGCATCAGCACCAGCGCGCCGACAAGCGGTGGAGCGTCCACCAGCCGCGGCGCTTCCGCTGGACCACCCGGACGCAGTGGAAGGGTCCTCGCGGAGGGGGTCCTGCAATCGCAGGAAGAAATCATCAGGGGGATCGCGGGGATCAACGAGCGGCTGGACCGGCTCGTAAATGTCCTCGAGCGTCTGGTGGAGAAAATAAATTAATTTGGCTCATTGAACTGTGTAGTCACTTCTTACCCATTCACACTGTGGCGATGAGATTCTCCCGCGTGAGGACGGCGGCCCGGCAGGGATCAGCTCGCATCCCTCCGTCTGCTGCTGGTTCGTCATGTGGGGCGACGTGCTGCTCGGCCACGGGGATGTGGTGCACGCTTGTCACATAGTGAGTCACCAAACACCGCCACACAGCGTCGCCAAAGTGCGAATCACAGTCAACGCAAGTATCGGCTCAACGCCAATTTCTACACCACCTCCTGACTTTGCGTTGATTAGCGCTGGAACCGACGCTCGTTTCGCGATGATAAATCTGGACGTGTGCGCCGATTTTGGCGTACGCAAGGTTTTCTTGCGCCGCAAGCGTTGATACATGAGGCCCCAGGTCCTTTCTGCCCTGTTGGGAGTCTTATATGAATATTCACCCATTCACTATACATTATCTTTTACTAATAAGCTTACATTTTCACTCAGCCCAAAAGAAGTGCCAATTGGAATCAATCCCGTATGCCTCCTCTGACACATTACAGATGCTGTGTGACAGTAGAGCTTTAGTACAAGTTACTTCAACTATTAGTGATGAATTATTAAATTACTGTCTGCCTTGGTTGATTAATATCATCTAAGGCTCAAGAGAGTCCAGCTTAGGCTTTCAGCAAAAAGAAACAATTATGTGAATAATGAATAAATGTAGGTTCAACAATAATGACACGTCATAAGTGAAGATGCAGGACTAGAGGCGACAGGACAGGTAGAAGCCATCTGCTGCACTGTAACGTGGCTGTCTGTGGAGAGTTTACCTTCTCTCTCTTTAACCCACTATCCCTCCCACCCCCACGGTCTCCCCACCTCCTCTCAGGGGAGTCACTCTAACAGACAGGACCAATTTTCTGCTAATTGGACCTCAGGAAATTGCTCCTCGTTTTAATTTACTGTCGGACAGCCATGAAGACATGTGATCCACCCACTGCTTTTCTCCACCCCTCCTTCCTTTTCTTCTCCACTGTGGGTGCAGGTGTGAGGATGAGTGAGGTACACCTTAAAGGCTCCTCTGTCTCCCTCCCTCTCTCTGGAAATAAAAGTAGTAGGCAAACGCAGAGACTGCAGTGAGGTCGAGTGGTTAACTGACCGTGACAACCAGATGCATTAAATATAACACGGTCCACATTCGTGGGCCAGAAAAGCCCACAGAGGGTGCTCAAAGGAATTCAAAGTTTTTGAAGACAAAAGTGAGCATGAATGGAAAAATAATCAGTCCAGTGTGGGTATTTTCCCAAACAGAGGCTGTCACAATATTATCAAAGCCACTGGGGCGTGTTGGAACATCCTATCCAAACAGGAACTGTATTCATTGGACAGACTATTAACCTTTGCTATCGGGCGACGACAAGCCGGCCTGTGAGATCACCAGGATCAGATGACAATATCTGACAGAGCGCCGTCTGGAGGATTGTCAAGATAAGATTAATTGCCATATAGTAACAAAACTAACACAATAACTGCAACTTTAGTACCATAGATCACTCTGCTAGCAATTACTGAACAAATATCGGAGGAAATCTACACCACATTTGAGACCTCTAGACTGTGATAATGATGGACTGATGAGGCAGGTGTTCACTCCTTCGAGGTCATTCCAGGACCAGAGGGATGAACATGTCGTGTACTAAATTCAGCATGAGTGAGGAAAGTATAAAGAGAAATACAGCGAGTCCCAAAAGAGAAAGTTTGTATTAACTTCAAGCAAGAATTTAAATGGTTGTTGACACATGGTATGCAATGATATTTCACATTGGTTGTAAGTATTGCTGGAAAAATGGGTGTATGGAGTTGATTGAGAACATAAATGACAATTGCAAAGGTGTCTTTACTCAACATTTTTTTTATAACTTATCAACTTTTGATCTGAAAATAAAAACACTCAAATAAATAGTCACATTGTCAGCTCTTTTAACCGTGTTAAACTTCAGTATTGATTCGATTCAGTGAAAACCACCTTTTCAAGACTGATTTGGATTTTGTAAGAATCATCAGGGTCAAGTGTCAGCAGAGATTATTTTTATGAGCCTGTTCTACATGTTGATACATAACATAAATAATTTTGATGCCTCTTTCTGTTTTGGAGGTTTGCAATAATGTCAGAAATCGATTATGTTGTTGGGAAAATAAATAATTTTGTGGAAAAAAATTCAGTATCGTTGTGATCACAGGAAAAATCACAGTTTCTTTTTTTACAAGTAATCAATCATCAAGCCATATAATTTTCAAAGATGGATCAGGGGTGTTTTTTTGGATTTGCATTATTTGTGAATGAACATCAGGGTTCAAAAGTTTAGACATTAACCCCACTCTTAAGATATATTTCAAGTAAAAATATACAAAAAGAAGTATTTTGTTTTCACTGTCTCTGGGACTGTCTTTAGAAGGTTTGCATTTTTCATTTTTAGTTTTTTTTTTTGTTAATACAGACCCATTCAAAAGCTGGATTAGCATAAAAAACTAACAATTATGGAGAGTTTAAAAAACCTTCTGGCACCTTCAATTTGACTGCTCCTTTGATTCATTTGATCTGAGTGTTGTCCTTATTGACAGCTCATATTACTTACAGATGGCCATACACTTCTGCAGATTATTGGTGGATCATGAGACAGGCACCCCTCACTTGTGTTGAGTTTTCTCTCCGTGTTAAAACCTTCTATGCTTTTACTCCTCTTAAGCTCGGTTTGACATATTTCCCTCCTGCCCTATACCAGCAGAAGATGTGCTCCCAGGTTAAACATCAGACTATTTATTTTAACAAATGAAAGTGTCAAAGTCCCAACTGACAGGAGCCATACCCGTTTTAAGTTGAAGCGCTGCTGAACCAGGAAACAATCCAAACTGTCTGCAGAAATCAAGAAAAACCTCCACTCTGTAAAACACTTACATGAAACTTCCTCCCTGATCGGAGTTTTCCCTTTTTCTTATTTAGTTTTTCTGTCAGCATCCATCACGTTAAACTCTGTGTACTGTTTTTGTGTTTTTCGCCAACATAAGCAAAGTTGGAAACATGGGTTTGATAATGGCGAGGCTTCCTGCTCTCCTGACAATCTATAAACTTTGAGAAAAATGTAACTTTGGATTGGTTTTAGCGGTTCAATTTAAATCCCATTTTTTAACACAGCGGATATTACGTTTTGAGAAAATCTCCTCAAATCTATCCTGCTTGTTTGTCATTGGATTGATAGGTTTGCAATTACATTCACTGAGTGTGTTTGCTGCAGGGTTTTTGGCACTCGCACAGACTGTGGTAGGAAATGTTTAAAGATGTTATTCACAGCAGAAACACTCAAATATGAAGATTAATGAGTGCGCAGAGAGCAGATCACACATGTTTGGTAAAAAAGTTTCATGCACAAGCACAGACACACACACACATTTCTCACCAGCCCTTTCCATACACACATGTTGCAGAATGACTGAATCCAACCTTGGTTGACATTCACACCAACACATCCACGTTTCCCAGGGGCCCACTATGACCCTCACATAGGGTTCATCTGCATCCACCAATCAATACGCCCGCATGTTTTAGCCCACAATCCCTCCATAGCTGCCTATCAATACTGACATGTTACCCGGGCCAAACATCCATCAGGCTGCCTGACATGTTTTGTAGCTCAAGCGCCGCCATCCATCAGGGCTGGACTTTTATAAACCTACCAACCCGATATGAATCGATAAGTCATGTTTTCAAACATTCCCCTCATGTCGATATGCAAAGCTGCGCTTGGGCACCAGCTCTGACCTCCATTCAAGGACCTCACAAACAATCATAGCGAAGACCCACCTTTGTAAAAGAGCAGTGGCCTTTCTGGTATTGATGTAGTCACAATGCGGGAGGCCAGAGTAAACATGTAGGAAGGGAAGTTCAGGATAATTGTGGTGTAATTGTGCTCATTGATCCTTTATTTGCAGGGGATTAGTGAGCTGACAGGGCGCTTGCAAAGTAGCGAAGACTGATAGATCTGCAGTGTTTGTTAAGCTGTTTTGTTCTCTTCTAATTAAAATGTATGGTGAGTGACCTGTGTGACCTTTGCTGTATTCGCACATGCACAAAACTCCTGTAATATCTTTCAAAATTTCCAGGGTGAGCTGCATCTTTGGCACAATTTCCGTAAACTTCAAGCAGTTGTTGGCAGTAACAAAGCGCTGAGATACAACGTCATTTCAAACATATAGTAAAACCAAAGGATCAGTGATTTTACTCTTTGACAATATCTTCAAACAGTAGACTGAATACCACGTCTATTTGACATCATGATCATAGTGTGGCCATATGAATAGTGGAGTCAAATCAATTTCTGAGTCCGAGCTCCCTAAAATTTTTATGAAATTTTCCAGATTGCACGCCAGAAAACAGCTCAAAGAAGCGGTTATAAATGATAGCAATAGCATCACTCAACTTGGCAAATCTGGAAGAATGACATGCAACAGGATAAATGACAAACTTTTAAGGCTTAGGAAGTATGATCATTTTTAAGATAAGGTGGGAGGAGATGTTATCCTGCTCCTTGGAAACCCATCCCTCTGCCTTGCCCCCCTACCACTGATCAACAAGTGAGAGTTCACCCTGTAAGGGCTGAGTTTAGACAAGTGACCTAAAAAATTGGGGGCAGAAGTCCTGAAATTCCTGCACTTGTGACTTGGGGCCACGTGTATCTGTTTTTAGGATGCTAAATGGTAATGGTGGCAAGGGGAAGGAAAAGAAGGAAAGTAAATCAAAGATACTTCCTTTCTGTCTCAAAAGCACGTCCACACACACTTATACACACACGTACACCAAGCTCATTACATCCTCCCTGCTGCCTGATGTCTGGTTGACAACTTAGCACCTTGGACTTACTTTCACACTTTCCAAACTTCTTAACTGGCCTCGGCCTCTGCGCACAGCAGAGCTCATTCACCCGAATCCTCTGCAGACGGAGAGGAAACAAATAACCCTGCGAAACCTGTCTCCACCAAATCCTCAAAATCTTATCTGCTTGAACTCCTGACTTTCCAACTGCACCTTCATATTTCATGCACTGGCCAAACAGTCGTTTGAAAATACCTCTCTCTTCAACTGAGGAACTTTTCTCCCCAAAGCGAACAGGGGTTTCAGTTGCAACTGAAATCTTCATCCATCATGCAGATAGGTATGCGTCCCTGGAGGGGCTGTTGTAATAAAGTGGACCTATCAGTCAGGGTGGAGCAGGCTTATTACTGTCTGTGTGGCCTGATGCTTTACACACTCTGTAAAACCTCCTGCTGCTGCAGCTTACTGTGAAAAAACACCAATGACTGTAAAGAGTGCGAGGCAAACCCAAGGGTTACAGTCCAAAAAGGAGGTAAAACAAACGTACGGCCGATGATGGTAATAGTCAGCGGTGATAATTTGAAATGGTGCGCCTGAAAAATAAAACAAAAAGAGTTCATGGTACCAAATTTATTATTGGAAGAGTCATTAATTATGTACGAAACATGTATTACAGAAAGAGCCTTTTAAGTCTGAATGCTTTGGCCGCAATAATTTCACTCTGTTCTCATTTTGTTTTTATGACAGGGGATTAATTAACCAGAGGGACAATGGATAAACTCTTTCTGCAACCAAAGGAAAATAAAACAATGCCCCCTGCACTGCAAGCACCACAGGGAGACTGGAGGAGCAGAAACAACACAAGGACACTTATCAAGGATGCAGCAGCACAGCAAAGACTTTAGAGAACTTTTGTTTCTCCCACAAACTACCAAAAAAGTAGTGATCTCTGCAAACTGTAACAGTCAGTAACGTGACATGAACGGTTTAAAGAAAGTATGGTTATAGCTGCATTAGGCAGTCTAACAGTCATTCTCCCAATAACAGGCATAGGAAATAATGCCGTATTCTAGTTGTACTTGGAAGTCTGAATTTCCGAAATCCGAGTCGGAACGGAACATCTGGTATGCCCCCCTGAAGTCGGATTTCCGACTCGGAGTGTCGGACGATCCTCACCAACCCCGACTTGAGGACAACGTCATAATCCAAGATGGCAGCGCAGTACATCAACAATAAAGAGTAACAGTGAAAGCTCTCTAAATGTATTATTCATTAGCACTTCTGTTTTGTTTTTGTGAAATTAAATAAGTGGTAACTGTAAACACGGTGCTATTGTGTTTGTAAGAGTAAAATACTGTGTTATGCGTTGTTCACAACTGCTATAGCTAACAACAACTAACAACAGCTAACAACAACAGACAACGGCTAATGACAGCTGACAAATGTAAACAACAGCTAACAACAGGTAACTGTAGGCAACTATCTTGGTTTTCCCGCTTGTTTACTGGAACGCCATCAGTTTAGGTGTAACTTCATTCCCAACATCTGACTTCCGAGGTAACTGGAATGCAGCATAAGAACTGATCCTAACTCGTTCAACCCACTGACATAATTCCAGACTTAAAGGGCTGGAAGAACAATCACGACACACAGGAGACAAGAGTGGTTTGAATATCAGGTCTAAAAATAGAACAGTATGATGTACCAATAAACTAAAATCCACTCAGTTCGTGAGACCGACAGCTTTCTGCCAATAAACTCTACATCTTCAGGAACTAGGGGGTCTTCTTTCCCAAGAAAAAGATCAGTGTACTTTTAAGACACTGTTCAGATTCAACTATTAAAAAAAGTAATCTGTAATGATTTATGAATTAATTTTAGCAATACGGTGTAATTTCTGTAATTAGCTGACAGTGAAATACGAAGCTGTCATCTTTGTTTCGGTCCATTAATCAGTCAAAGGCTGTAATTGCTATCAGCCATGAAAAGTACAATCAGAGGCCAAGTTTCAGGAAGTCTAACACACTAGATCCTTTTCAATATCATGTTAACTGATGGAAGATGCAGCAGAGTAAAAAAACTCATTTCTGCTCCACATCAGTGCATCAATCTTTCAGGTTTTTCACAAGTGTCCCAAAGGTTAAGTCTTGGCAAATAACTACATTATTTGAATGACACTTTTAACACCCCTGCAGCCAGATGCTCGGGGGAGCACAGAGTAAATCATAACTCGCACTTTCTCACAGTGCACCTGACAGTGGCTTGTGAAGGCTTGGGGAGTTTAATGGTGTGGTAGGTCAGCTGCACTATATTCAAACACCCTCAGGGTAAGAGACGAGTGAGGCTTGCTCAGAAAGCTGCGATATGTACAGGTTCATAATCCACCTGGGTGGTGAGTAGTAAAACATACAGTGGGAGATGAGTGGGAAGGAATGTCATGGATTTATGCATGTCAGGTATCACCTGTCAAAAAGTGGGGATGATATACAGGCAGGGATCTATAATGACGAGGCCAGGGCTGGTAAACGAGGTTTCCATGTTTGTGGCTTATGGCTCTTTTTTTCCTTCTCTTGCTCACACCTGTTTTCTCTCTCACTGTGTAACTGACTGTATTTGTTCAGGTCTTCAGAGGTGAAATCACCAGGAAAGCACCAGGTTTTGTATGCCAAGCAATGTGCAGTGCCATGACTTACGAGACACTTTTTGTTTCATTGTGTTGAAACCAACCACTAATATTACTCTAAAAAAATCTCATGTTTACTGGCACACTAAGAATCATAAGATACTGACCACCGTGGGTGCACTTGGTCCATCCCTCTCTACCAAGAAAAAAGGAACGAATAATTGTTTGCATTTGAAAGCGATTTCAAAAGTAAGACAGACAGTGATATAGCCCTATGATACAAACAGTTTTCCAATGTGCCCTTTGAAAATAAGCGTTGACCTGGGAAAACGGCTTCAATTTGTTAGGGGGCATTAAAATTTGACAACAAAAACTGGCTAGATAAGTCAAGTTCTGACAAAAAGGACCAATTATTTTAGTTACTGGTGTAAGTAAATATCACATAATCATGACTGACATTTCAAAATAATTATCAACAAGCCCAGGCTTAGTATCTAAGGAGTATTAGCTTAGCATAAAAAACTAAACTAAAAAATAGTACTGTCAAATTCTTTAAAATATGTGGTTTTACTATTTTTAAAATTTCAAAAGGAGTGGGATTGAAGGGTTTTACAAATTTTACATTATCCCTTCAATATACATGTATTTACTGGTGGAAACGGACAATCAGTATTATGTTAAACTAATTCAAAAATGGTTGAAAACCAGTGATTACACTATGGCGAGAAAGTTCACTTCCCAATCATCCCCCAGGCCTCTCCAGTCAAGGCAGCGCATAGGCTTGAATTCCCAGCCTCAGTCAGCGGCAACTATTTCAGGTCATATTTTGATGGACTGCCCCTTACCCCTTACATCAGCTACAGCCCTTTTTCTTTCAAAATGTAACAGCTCCATCTTGATACCCATCACCTGTCACTATATGACCCAGGTAATGCACTTAAGGCAGCCTGTGGAGCCCTGGGGGTGTCTCTTGTGTTTTAAGTATCCTCAGTCAAAACCCCTTAAAATATCAACGGGTTCCCCTGAGGCTGGGTGCGCCGGCAACCTTTGACCCCGAAGGTCAGCTGACTAATTAGCAAACACCTCTGTGGAGCTGAGGAATGCTCTGTGCCGATGGCAGGGAAAAAACAGGAGTGGGATCTGTCAATTCCCTTCTCTGGGACTGTAAACACTCACAGGAAGATACTTGGAAGCAGCTGATCATTATTTGAGTTCAGTCACTCCTCGTGTGTGCAATATGGCAGTGGCACCAAGTGTCGAGTGGAAAATGATAGACGAGGAGCAGGAGAAGGTTTGGGAACGAAGCAAGTTGAGGTTATGTTGATAGGAAACGTTTAGCACAACATCACTGACGTTAGCAAAAACTTACTGTATATACGTTTCCTGGACTATGAACTCACACACTGACTCCAGCTTTAATTTAAGAAAAAAGAAACCCTTTGTTCTCAAAGAGTCTGCTTGAGTAGCCAAAGGTTACATTATAATTTCATGTGTTTAGATTTAGAGTCTATGAGCCAGTTTCTAATGACATATAATGGTATGTGTCCTACAGCAGTTTATTGGCTTTTCAAGGGCGTAATGACAGTCAATGGCCACACATTACATTTCAGACCGTGGCCCCATTAGGTCCAATAGGATCTTTCATCTTCCAACGTTGCTGCCTAGAGCCAGTAGAAGATCCTATGTCATTGTCATAACCCTGTCCCCATGGTGTAGGAATCAACTCCAGGCCACCTTGACACAGAATTCGACATGATTGATGGTAATTGCCTTTTGTAAAATGCTGCGGCCACCGAAGACTTTATTTTTCTCCTTGCCTTTCATAAAGAGCTGCAAAAATACTTAACCTGATCTATAAGAGGAAATGAGAAGCATCAGATGAAACCCGCAACACATTCAGCTCTCTGAACGACATGGCTTAATTACGCTGATGACATGTTGCTGTTCATTGACCCATTTGGATGCAGCGACTGTGGTCAAGCTGGGCCAGATTTAGAAGGGATAAAAAGTCTATTGTGTGTACGAGGATGAACGGGGGAAATATATAAGGAAAGGCATTTGAAACTGAAACCAGATGTGTGCGTGAGTGCGCTTTTTGGGGGGAGTGTGTGAGTGCAAATTGAGTGCTTGTTTCAGGACTGCTGGCCATGCCATTTCTTGGCCGGTGATTTTTAAGAGTTTGAGGTTTTTGGAAGAAGTATGTTTGGTACAATTAAAGGAGAGAATAAAATGAGTAGCACAGTAGGATAAAAAACTTGTAAGACATGGCTTGAGGTTTTCATGTGATTTGGGAAGGGAAAGGTACGAGTGTTACAAAGCCACACATCTAAAAATGCTCTCTTGACTCAGCACAACAGACCAAATGGAAGGAAGAGGATATGTCAAAACTTGTTATCCTGAATTCTCATCACTGCAACACAGGATGGAATCATTTCCCACCCTGGGAAGACTTGTCCAAAACAGTTCTCTTACATAAATCACTGTCCTAATATGAAAAGGTACATGACTAAGTGACTGAAATTAATGTGTTTCCAGGGAACGGATCAAAAATAAACACCCTGGCAAAACTCAGAACAGTAGAAGCCAACAGATCCTACCACAGCTTCACAAATGTCCTCTTTTCCCCCACCTTGCAAATTTTCAGGCACAGCAAATAAAATTGTTCCAGGTGCACCAATGAAACCCACGGGCCAATTTCCTAAAAGCAGGGCCAAGAGCTGTTAAACGTGGAGGCGTGAATTCAGCCAGGCTTTGTAATAGCTTAAAGTGCTGGCCAGTGGCCCCTGCGAAGGTTTCGTGCCCTCTTTCTCACAATAGCTATTGGTGTTATACTGTCAGGTGTCTGTTAACTATTACAGCACATGGTGGATTAAGTCAGTGTCATAAAGTATGGTAAAAATAGGAACATAGGGCCTGTGATACATTAGTGTAAAGATATTGTTCTGATTTAAAACTCAGATTGGATGATATTTGGTGAGGAAAGTCACTCTGTTGTTCCTTTAAAGCTCCAGGAAAGGACTTTTTGGTCTGCGTTATCATGTTGTCTTAACTGTTTTTGTGTACACTGTTCATCTCTTTGTCTGATACATGCCTTGTCACTTGGATCTCAGATATTAAAAATTATAAAAAAGAAGTAGTCAGTTTTTTTTTGTTGTTTTTTTGACAGGTCACCTTTTTTGCTTTAGTTGCTCAAAGAAAGGCATCAATATTTATTACAAAAAAACTTCACGGGAGCTCTGATAAAACAAAATAAAGGGACAAGATTAGATCTCAGTCTTCACAGCACAAGGCCAATACCTACCCCTTTACACTAGTCTCAGGGATTTGATATAAGATAAAAGATAAAATGTAGGAGTGACTTTTTGCTGTTTGACATTGCTTTCAAGTTTTCTTTGATTTTAAAATCAGATCAAATTTTAAAAGTGCCAATTTTTAAACTTGAGGTCTGTGTGAGACCTTTGCTTACACTCGACAGGGGGTTTGGGTTTACATGACCACCTCATATCAAATTAGAACTGCAAAAATGGCTCAATCTGAATGAAAATGACTCATCGAAAAACAATTCAACTGTAGATTTACCCAGAAAAAAAGGGGAAGAGTCCTTTAGTTGTAAGACTGCACAGCCATGTGTACACATGTTCCATATGCACTCTGTTGGCAGATATTTTTTGACGCTTATTTTCCATTTTTCATGATTTGAGGTTTGCATTAAACACTTTAAAGAAAACACGGCACGAACCTGGTAAGAGATTGAAACAAGGGTTCTTGTGGATTTTTTTTAAGGATTAAAACATCGTTAATCAGCTTGACAGGCGAAAACAAAGAAACATTGATCTGTTTCGTCTTGTCCACCAGGAACTGGAACAGTCTGGGATATATCATTCCATGGAACAAATAAAACACAGGTGGAAGGCACTTAAAAAGTTTGTTCTACAAAGCAAAAGCAGATCCTCTCTTACAAAACTGACGTTGTATGACAAAATGAGTCAGCTCATGGGGGTGCAGTCTCTGTCGAACACTGGGGTTAATAGAGTTAAGGTTTGGTTCTTGGGCCAGGGGCCTGATGACAACTGCTAAGATAAGTGGGGACCTTTGTGGTGTTCACGTAGTGGCGCATCAGGCTTGTAAACACCAGATTGTATAAGATGACAATCCATGTAAAGAAGACAACACAACATTTTGAAACAGAATTAACTGAAACAGAAAAAAGTGGTCGTGTAAATGCTTTCTTTAACTACCCAAATGAGATGTAAGCATGAATTTCATGTCAAAGATCCCTTTCAAAGGTAATATTTTCATGCATGTACTTTTTTTGTGTAATTGGGTTTCAGACCGTGTTTTTTTGATATGCATACTTCTCACATTCATTTATGACATTTTGTTGATGTATTGCGTGACCCTATCCAAGAAATCCACATGGCTGATTAAGTTTTACAGTTCAGACCATGTTTATTCTTGATGCCAGATTCCACAATTAGTCTCAACAGAACAAAACCCTTCTGATAAATAAAGAGCCATATCATTTTTCACTGAAAAATCGAGTGACTTCTGCAGAACCCAGTTTTGCAGTATTACTGAACCATACAGTAGCAGCAGTGTGAGAGACTACAAAGAGGTCAGTGAGTGAGGCAGGACAGGACTCATTACAAAGCAACAGAACACACCAACTCTCAACAGCTCCTTCCTCTATCTTAGATTTCTTCCTACTGCCTTAACAAACTCCAGGTCCGACTGAGCGGAGCATCAGTGCCAGTGAGCTGAAACCTGAGCAGAGGAAAAAAGGGCACCTCTACGTATGGAAAGGCTTAGGTGAGCAGTAAACTCCCTCTTATGGAACTGATGAGAAACACCTGGGTGTCTGAGCGACGACGTCAGCCAGACAAATCAAAGCCAGAGAGGATGATTGAAAGTGAGGCGGCACAAATCAAAACCTCTGATCAAGCGGTCGTGAGCGATGGAAAACGTACACGAATGGTTGGATGGCAGGAGCTGGAAGGAAACCTGAGATAGACCGTCAAAGACAATTAAGAAACAAAATCTGAATTACATATATTAACAAATTAATCAAATTCTTAAAAAATAAACACTCTACAAACAACTAGAAGGAAATGTAAATAATAAGATCCACAAGGAACTTCAATTAACAAGCGCAACTGGATGCAATCCACTGGGAGACATTAAAAGAAACAAAGCACAAACAAAATCAAGCAACTTTGAAAAGGATCTACACACTGCTTGCATCATTTAAGCTATGTCTGAGGTTTTTAGTGACAGTCTCTTCATTTCTCTCTGTGTCTTGTTTGTGCTATGAATGATTTAAGTGGGGCACTGGGTTCTTCATGGCTTTGGCAGCACAGTTTTTCTCTGAAGTCATTGAAGAGACGCCTGTTAGAGACAATCAAAAGGCCAGAACTCATCTAATCCTCGGCTGGTTTCCAACTGTGTTGCCATGTTAAGGGAGGTGTGTTGGGTAAAACCAAGATCTCAAAGTTCCACGGACAATTTGAGCTAACTGCTTCAGGTTGTGAGCTATTTTCAATGATGTAACAAGATACTGCTTAATTTATTCCATTTTCGTGAAACCCAATTACATGTCAAGCAAGAGTGACTGTTCCCAATGTTTTACATCAATTGGAAATAATTATATTCTGGTTAATCGCAGGGGTTCCATGTTTCAATTTCCTCTATGAGGGAAAGATGTGGCTGTTGGCGAGTAGTAGGTGAACGGAAATGAAACACAAATGCTTCTTTCTCTGTGGGTCTCAGATTTGTGGCGTGCTCAAGTGGGCACCATAGCAAATGTGCCCTTCGCTGCCTTTTGGTGATCTTTCGTGAAGACAGACTTCGGAGTTTCTGCCATTACTTTCTCTTTCAACATGGCTCCACCCAACTGGTCTCCACATTTGTGCATCTGTTGGATGTCTCTGAGCGCGCGTGTTGGCGTCACCACTAATAGGTCTGTCAGTTGAGATGCTGCTGAGAGCTGTTGTCATAGCCTCATGTCCAAACTGGCAGCATTCACTTTCCACTTACTGTCCCCGGAGAGAGTTTGACCTGAGTGGAGTTACCACAATGTGGGCTCACACTGCCCAGTTGGTTATCCAACCCAGCACACGCACACACACATCCTCCCTCTCTTACACACACAGCCCATACAAGCAGGCTGACACACTTTTAAGACTGTGTTACATTAACATCTAATGAGAAGTTATTCATTATTCATTATTACAACGCTGTGTGCAGTACTTGGGGCTGACTGGTCATTACATAGCAACACTTTGTAGCAACAGTGTTATTCCTGAACGGAAGACTGTCGCTAAGGAGAACAGACCACTATTCACAATGACAGAGACACAACAGATGTGTAAGCCATGACAAAAAAAATCTGCAAATATAACAAAGCGTGTGGTCTTAACACTGACCAGAGTAAAGTTTGGGATACAGTGGTGCTTTGGACTGATGTGCAAAAAAAATATTTATATATACCAAACTGAAGCAGCTGGGAAAAACAATGAGGTGAGGGGTTTCTTCATGTGCTCCTGCTGATCTTGTCTTTACTGTACAATCAGTGGAAAAGTTGAGTCTAAAGAAATTACTTTAAGAAGGTTATTGATTTGACTGTTAATTTGGAAATAGCTAAAACTTTAAGTATAAGGGCCTGTGTCCACTAACTTTTTTTGGCCTGCAGAACTTTTTCTCTTGCAACACTAATGCAGTCTAATGTGAGTCATTATAACCACTTGAGAAAGGCTTGAGAGTTGACTGTTACGTTGGACACAGAAAAATCTGTGAGTGTAAGGGCCTGTGTCCACTAACTTTTTTATGCAGTTTAAAGTTTTCAGCATTGTCACACAGGGCCAGAGCCTCTTTTGAGCATATTGAAAGGGTAAGACAGTGGATCAAGCAGAGGTCCTGAAAAGGGAGTAGGGGATGATAGTGGCAAAAGGCCGCAGGCTGAACTTGAACCCTGCTTCCTGCTGGAAAGACTGCAGTCTCTGTACATTGGGCGCACAATTTAGCCTCAAGTCCAACCCAGTGACCCAGTGACAGTGACGCCTATGAGGAGAAAGTACTTAAACTTGTTTTTGAGGCACACTCTCCAGGTCTTAACAGCAGCTTACATAGGGATGTGTTTCCCTTTTGTTTTTTTCGATACAATTTACTTAGACAAATGCAAATATGAAGCGAATAAATCAATAAGAAGCAGACATAATAGGTCAAAGAGGTGAAAATGCTTTGAAACAATAAGAGAAACGACAACAGCTGATCAGAAGCACCCTCAAACTGAGCTCACAAGTGCTACCAGCAGAAAAAATACTGATAGTGTACACAGGTCCTTATAGACTATTTCCAAAAAATAAATATAATTGATTTTTTTCACGTTACAATTAATTCATCATGTCTGAATTAGATTTTCCAGTCATTTACAGTCATATTACAAATCAAGCCTGTATTAATAAATTTAAACAGGCATCAAGGAATGTTAAAAGATACAAGTTTTTTTATTTTGGTAAAGTAAAAAGGGGATAAAACCTTAACATATTTGGTTTTGAAAAAAGGCATCTTCAAATCTTTTGTTTCACTTTCAAAAGTCAGAAAACAAAGATTTTAACCATCAAATGAACAGGCTGAGAAAAACTATTTTGTGGCCTGAGTTAGGGACTGGGACTTTTTGAAGTTTTACCCTAAAAGGGCTCAAAGCCTTCTGCTCCAGATGAAGCATGGATATTGTTATTCTAAGTCTTTTTATATAATTTATACAATGAGAAAAGATGCATACTGAAAACAATGGTTTTAAAATCATGAATGAAGGAAATCAAAAGGTTATCAACTCAGTGAGTTAGTGCTTTTTAAAATACTCTTGAAAGGAAATGAGAGTGTCTGAGTTACAAATATCACAAACCTCAATAAAACATAAAAAACGTGCAGATTTTCCTGAAAGTACCAAGTGTCAAGAAAACACCATTCAGGTTAAAATTAGAGTTTTATTCCTGGGATCACCATAGGTTATCTAACTTCATATTTTTCTCATAAATTCCAATTTCCGCAGAAAATGTCACAACAACAATGGCTCTTCCTGAGCAGGGTCAAGCTTTGGCCTGTAAAACATAAAAAAAGAAGAAATTCTCCTTGCACATGCAAATTTTAAGGTCACATACTCTCTGCAGTGTACACTCAGCTTATGAAAAACTCCCGCTGTGCTCACAGTCAAGGCCGAGCACACAACGGAGCCAGAGGACGGAGACTTCAGCCGAGATTTAACAGGAAAACAGCGTGCCAGCCTGTTAGCCATTCAGAGCTCTCACAATGAAAACAGCCTTGTGTTTTTCCAACTCGAGGAGCCAGTGTTGGCCATTTTGCCTGTTTCAGCAGCAAGACCTGTTTTGTCTTGGGCTGATTTTGCAGTAACTACTACTGTCTGTAGTCTACAATAACCACACCACCATGCTTTCATTGGAAATGAATGAAAGTAGTGACCTCACTGCTTTCGACCAGACCACCCCAAAGTAAAAGCCCCGAAAGAAAATCCAAGTGTCGGAGTTTGAAGCTGTCCCGCCGGGGGCTTGTTTCAAGATTTCCCATATTGATTCACAGTTTTTGAGCCGCTGCAGCTGCAGATCATCCATGCTCTGATGTTTACAAGTAAACCTGGACGTTTCACAAAGCGCTGTTGCAACCTTTAACAAGCCTCTGCAGAAGACTTTATGTAATGCAAACACATAAACATGCCCAAAAATGTACACAAACAGCCTGCAACCGAACCTAAAAACGCACATTTCAAGAGAGACAGAAATGACGACACTGCAGTAAGTCCAAGTGTCCTGCAATATCTCAGTGTTTTTCTCCTTAACCAGCAGTTCTATCAGCACATTCATTTAATAAAAAATGTATTTTTTTCCTGCTGCAGCCTCCTAAATAAAACTGCATTGAAATCAGAATGGAGTTCATCCATCTCTGTCTCTCTTATTAATGAATACAGCCAGGCTGTGGTTTGAGACAGTGTGTTGCATTACAGAAGCAGATTAACTGTAAGAGCAAGTGTCGCCTTTGTGGTGCTGCTTGAACTGCTCATAGCTCTGTTGTGTTTGCAGCAAAGGACAAGTAGAAGGCACCAAATGACTCCCTCTGTGTGCATGGGTGCTGGCTCAGCAGGCTTTGACTCCGCTTCATTCAGCTCCCTGATTGCATTGGCCTCCACCAAGCCATTGATTCCCCAAGTCCAAGCCAAGCACTTTTCTGTTTGCCTTGCTCCCCTCTAGATACCAACAACCACAGCTGTGTCTGTACTAGTATTGCCGCCGTGTTACCTGTTTTAGTGCAGAGGTCAACGGGTTTGAGAGGGGACGGCTCATGTCTGGAGGAAGATACATGGAGGCTGGCTTAAGAAAGCTGACAGTATGACTTAAACCCTGCAGCTCTGGTAAAACAGAACAATCCCATAGGTCAGGAGGTGCTGTTTCATCATTCTGCTGAAGAGGTCTATCGCTTTGACTTTAGTTCAATTATTGGTATTTGAAGTCTTAAGAGGAAACACTTAAGGCAAGGTTCACTGAGGTTAGAGGGGAAAACACATAAAAGCCTTTATTTTCCAGTCCAAACTTCCCATCCTGTCTTGGCCGGTGGAATATCAGTTTCACTACCTCACAACTGTCATTTCTGCTGTTAAAACAATATTTGCTCTGACGAGAACTTTCCAGCAGCTCGGTCTAATTTTCACAAGCTATTTTAGACTTAGTCTTAGCTTTCAGAAGTGTCTCATTGTCAATTAGAATTCTCAACATTGAAGTCTATACTTTTGGACAAAATGCTTGATCTCTTTAAACTACACCAATCAGATGATGAGAAACTGGTATAAATCTTGTTTTGTGCTCAAATCTGTAAAGCTACATTTCACTTTCTTTGCACCATAACTTGTGTAAACCTGGATTTAATCTACTAGACCCTCAAAGTAAAAACTCTACTGTGCTGTCCCTCTACTAAGGTAAAAGTATCACACACAGATTAAAGTTTTAGTAAAAAAGAGTATTCATAAATGACCCTTTTATTGCCCTTTCTGGTTGTATCAATAATGTCTTATTATTCAAATAAAGTTGTATTATCACACTGTCAGCTGCATCACTATATTAATACATCTGAGTTTGGTCAAAACCACTGAGAAATGAAAAGTGGAGAGACAAAGGAATAACAGCCACATGTACACTTATAGATAAGCAACATTTCAAATCATTTACAGCGCTGAAAAATGAGTTTGGATTAGAAAATGAAGATCTATATAGATATTTCCAATTAAGACACTTTTATGAGACAGAAGTTAAGAGGGAAATTTCTGTGGAGGGGAATGATGTGATCGAAATATTAACAGGCGCGTTCAAGCAAACCCCCTTAAGAATTGTCTCAAAGCTATACAAAGGTTTATTGAAGCAACAGGGAAGAAACACAATGTATATAAAAGAGAAATGGGAAAGGGAACTCGGCATTGAATTATCTGAGAGTGATTGGCAGACCATGCTCAAGACCCAACATACATCAACAAGTTCTAAAACATGGAGGGAGTTCGGTTGGAAAAATTTGACACGTCTATTTATTACACCAAAAATCAAAAATAAACAATTAGGTCAACAACAGCATTGTTGGAGACAATGTGGGCAACTGAATGCCAACCACTCTCATATATTTTGGTCATGTACGAAAATACAGACATTTTGGGATGAGGTCCTGAGAGTCATGGGTAAAGTTTTTGGATATAATTTACCCAAAGATCCCCGGTTTATTTATCTTGGACTGATATTAGAAGATGTAATGGGTAAAGAGGACATATACCTGTTCAAGATCCTATCTCTTGCAGCTAAGAAAGCCATCACAAGAACTTGGCTAAGAACTGATCCACCTGAACTGAGTGACTGGCTGACCATTGTAGAGGAAACCCGATCAATGGAACAAATGACTTACAGACTACGAATTAAAGCTGAGCTATATGCTGTAAGATGGACTAAATGGCACCTGTATGTAACTGAGTAGTGTTTGCCCCCCTTGTTCTTGTTCTTGTTTTGTTTTGTTTTGTACAGTATGTGCGTGTATGTTTGAAAGTTTGCCTTAAAAGATAAAAATAAAGTTTAAAAAAAAAAAAAAAAAAAAAAAAAAACACTGAGAAATCTCATTAAATGTGCTGATAACATATCCCTGACCCAAGATAGCTCAAGGCTTTGACACCTCAATTTAAAGTCAGTGGTGGAAAAAAAATGAAAATGCCAATTATCAACCTGTCACTAACTTGGTAGCTCCGTCAGTCATGGCTTTGTCACTTAGATATAATGGAAAAATAAAAATCAGCAATGAAAAGGGGAAAGATGCACGGAGTTGATGAATTTTGTACTTATAGCATCGTTGGTGCAGAAAAGTGACAAAATTTACAAGACTGTGAGATTTTGACGGACAGATCAGACACAGTTGGGAAAATATCAATGAATTTTAACATCCAACAATCCATCACAACCACTGCAGTCCTGACCTGCTGTCACACGGCCGAAACAAATCATGAGTTAATCAGTGATATGTACAGTAGGTCATAAATATTATCACTCCTTAATTAAATATTACATTTGACCATCCGTCAAAGGTCAGCAGGATGAGGTTTTCTGTCGGGGTCAGGACTTAATCATATAGAGGACAAGATAAGCAAAGACTTTCTTGTCCACAGGGGGCGCAAAATTGACAAAAACTGAAAGATCCACATAGGAGCTTTAATTTCTGTGTGTAGAATAAACCTGCAAAGAGTGAAGATGCCAGAGCCTTAATGCTATATATGCCTCAGCCATCTAACTGCAGATTTTTTTCCCATAAGACTTGTTTTTTGAATTTTCCAAATGTTATTTGAAAAATAAATTTAAAGTAGCCATAAAGCAACCAATTCAGTACCTGTTTTTTCATTCTTGCCAAAACCAGCTCTCTTGAAAAATATACAAAGAGCAACGAAAGAAAGAGAGAAAAAGACAGAGTGAGAATGAAACAAAGAGCAAAAGAATCCCTCCTAATGAATTCACTCACACACTGGGCACTTTAATGAAAATCAATACTGTAATTTTCTACTTAGATAACCCAATCCCTCCAAACTGATTCTCTCATTTCCTCCTAGTGCATCTTCGATTATTCAATCAAGGATCCGACCTCAGCAGCCTTGGTTACAGAGATTATAGTTTCAGAGTCAGTCAACTCCAACCCCTTAGGTCAGTCTTCCTTAGGGTTCATGGTGAATTCATCGCCCCTGTACAAACGCTCAAATTCATGGGCTGTTTGTTGTACAACCCCTCTCATGAAGACATACCTCTTATTTATGACTCAATCAATGGAGACCCTCAGACCTCGAGGCCGATCGATATGATTACAGGGCTGTTAAAAATCTGTTAAGACTTGCCAGCCTCCAGTTCAAATGTGCTGACCGGGCAGCTTTAGAAGGCTGTCAGTCATCTAAGTCTCACTCGCTAAACTGGGGGGGGGGGCTTGTCGTGTTTGTTCAAGTTCAACCACAATCACAAATTTATTGAGCTCCTACCACGCTCGACTCTCTGCTCCAGTTTGCTTGTGTTTTCCCTGAAGACATTTAAAGCCCTTAGCAACGCAGGGTCAATGGAGCACTGTCTGTGTTACATTCCTATTGTCACATTGTTAAAATGTCTAGCTTTGGGTGGGCCCAGTTGTTTGGGGCAGTTTTCATTGTGCCACGCTGCTGGGTTGGCATTTGAGTTCTCGTTTCCTGCCAGGAAAGTGCTAATGCTAGTCGTAATGGAAGGTGCTGCAAACAATCATAAATGTGTCTAGACATATAAACTGTCAGATAAGCTGTGGAAATAGTAAGAAAGTAAAAATAAATGTGATCCTGATTAGAAAGCTGTAACAGTCTGGGTCCCTTAATAACAACAATCGGTGTCATAAAAAGGAAGTGTGTTTCCTTCACTTTTAGTGTCAAATATTGCAGCACTCTCCAGAACAAAATATAGATGCAGGAAGGAAAATTAACAGAGTAGATAATCCTTATAATCCAACTCTGATCTGCATTTCACTAAGTGTACCTGCTGAAGTCTATAAATCAACTTTTATCATGTGCTTAGACTTCATAAATCTCAATATGTACATGAAAGCGGGGCCTCTGCAGATGTCGTGCCAAAAGCGATTGGATTCTCATGAGAAGGAATCAGCATCCAGATGCAGTAAGCACCAGTTTCTGTTTTGTATTTAATCTGTGCTCCGATCTGAGACTGAGGTAAGCGTGAGCTGATCGCCACCAACAGCTGGTATGTGCTCATTTCCATCGTTGGGATCATCTTTCCTTTTTGGACAGGATGGTGTTTAAAAAAAAAACAACATCAGGGCCTATAAGGTGGAGATGTGAAGTTTTTCAGAGGGAGAAGATAGAGAGGAGGGTGAAGTGAGATGAAAAGTTAAATAGAAGGAGAGGGGGAAAGTGTGAGACAAAAAGAGACAGACAGAGAGCGGGGCCGGGCCTCACGGTACCTGATCAAACAACTTGACGGCGTGTCAACACACATCTGGAGCAGATATACCTCCTCCCTCTCCTCCTCCACCTCCCCTTCATACACAGCGATCCTATCAAAACAAGAAAACACATTTGATATCAGAGCAGTCAGTCTTCATCATCATAAAAACTGATCAAGAAGATAGATGTGAAGCTAAGCTATGCTAATTACATAAGAGCAGAACTTCTCGACGGTCTCTTTACAGCCTGTGAGTACTTGGATACCACTCCTTTCAGCCTTTTGTTTGCTCTTGGCAGCCTCTTTTTGTTTTTATGAACTGGCCCGTTAATCCTTTCTGACCACAACTGATGCAAACAACGCAGGGCACTGGCGTGTACATCAGGCGATTGCACAAACACTAACATTTCCTAACATTTACAGCCGTGATTGAAGTCAAGGCCTTGGAGAGTCGGAACGAGAGCCGTTTCCCAAGGGCAGGCGAAGGGAATGAACGTGGACTGACCATGAGTGATTCAAGGCATGTTTGAGGCATTAGTGTTGGCGTGTGGACACACTGCATCTGTTATTACTACAGCAATGCAATAATAAACTTCTTCGTTTCTTTGGAAAGGATGGCTTGAGTGTTTTTTCCCTTGAATTACACACCAGATTTAGACGGCATCCTCCCTGACTTAAAGAGATAAGTAAAGAAAGAAGGGCTGAATGATTGAGAGTTGAACTATCACGGTTTGGATGTGTGCTTGTCCAACAGTCACATCACAGAAGTAATAATTTATCGACTCTGTTAACAAAAACTGAAGAATACATTTGTTGTTTTTTAATTAAATTGTCTGTTTTAAGTAATGCTGCGTTCCAGTTGAAGTCGGATGTCGGAGCTGGGAATGACGTCACATCCAGCGTTCCAGTCGGAAAACCAAGATGGACGCCTACAGTTCCCCAGTGTTAGTTGTTCACCATTGTCAGCTGTCGTTGGCTGTTGTCAGTCATTGTTAGTTGTTGTAAGCGAGACCAGTTGTAAACAACGCACAACACAGTATTTTACTCTTACAAACACTATAGCACCATGTTCAAAGTTAGACGTTGGGCAGTGCAACATATACCACTTATTTAATTTCACAAAAACAAAACAGAAGTGCTAATAAATAATACATTACGAGAGCTTTCACTGTTACTCTTTACTGTTGATGCACTGCGCTGCCTTCTTAAATCATGACGTTGTCGTGAAGTCGGGGCTTGCGAGGATGATCCAACTTTCCGAGTCGGGAATTCCAGATTAATTTTCGACTCAAAGCTCAGAAATCCTGACTTCCAAGTACAACTGGAACACAGCATTTGTCACAACATTGCTGAATTCTGATTCTGAATTGTCACCACAGGCCTATTCTCAAACGGACTAAATGGACTGTTTATTAAGATGTACCCAGTAATTTCTCTATTGCCTGTAGCAAAAGGATAAAGTGCTAAAAGTGCTGATAAAATCCCCCAAAACGGCCCGACAACTGCATTGAATGAAATGCTCATGGCGTGCAAAAGCAGAGAAAGAGTCAATGAAATGCCTGACTCATCAGAGAAGTACAGCTAACATTAAGGATGAGTCAGCACTGTTCACACACATGGCGAGAAGATTCACAATAACACAAATAATTATGAGTGCTCCATTGGGTTCACATGTATACAAACACACACAAACAAGCCGTCTCGAGAGCCTTGGTGTATGACATAACCATGTGTGTGATCATTAAGTGACTGTGGCAGGTTGTTTTTGCCCAGGCTGCCCTCTCTGCATCTGTTCCCCATACGGCCTCATTAGGTGGGATCCCTCTGGGAGCTGATGGGCAGGGTCAGGAAGAGGGTCCCAGACTTCGGCTGTCTGTGGATCTGACAGAGCTGATAATGTTGAGGTCTGGACAGGACAGGAAAGAAAGGAGAGGGGGAGGAGGAGGAGGGCGGGTGATCCGAGACCCCTGACCTGGCTGCCCCATGATCTGATGAAACGGCAAGGCTGAGGAGGAATGTGGATTCTCACGTGCAACCTCAGCTCTATACTGTTTCCAACCTAAGCTTTTCCTCAAGAGTTACAGTATTGTCTACCATATTCATATGAGGTTTGCATTTAGTGACTGTCTTTGTTCAAGCCAGTCTCCTATTACAGCATGTGAATCCTCTAACTGGTTGATTCTATTAGAGCATAAGGATAGGTGGTGGTATTCACAAGCACTGGTCCCACAATCCAAAAGCCACAAGCGCTTTAATTTATTGGTTGATGTCTAGTTAAAGTGGCCTAAATGTAAACTTGGCAGCCTTACATAACTGTGGTTCTTAGGAAAAGGCAAACTATTTATCTTAATTCAACTGGAGTTGTTTGTCACCTAACGGTAAGTATATTCTCATAAATCACCTTGTCCTAAAGACGCTCGAGAGGTTCGGGAGGCAGATCAACAAAAATAACTTGCCTCATAAACAGGAAAGAACTGAAATGGTGTGATGGGAAGGGTCCTCTACAATCTATAAGATGTGTTTCACCGTCATTTAAGAGGAGAGACTATGAGCAAGAACTTGACTGCATGAAATTTTATAACTCATTTAAAAACGGACACAAAAGATCAACAAGAAATATTGCAAAAACACCTTTTTTATCAGATTTAACTATGGACTAAATTAGTCTTTTTATCATTAGTATTGATATTAGCTCTGACTTTCACAATTTGTGACTTTAGTTGTTCCCATTTACTACATAAATGTTTGCTTTGAACCCATTAACATGGAGCCATGAAGAGCTGTATTTACATTTCCAAAAGCATTGTTATATCAGGTCCTTCTGCAGATAAAACACTGAGGTTATTTTGAAACATCCAGACCACACTGACAATAATCTTCACAGGAAGAACTTTAAATCCTGAGAGCCACTAACCAAACTTTACCTCCTCTATATTTGGGTTTAGGCGGAAAGCTCAGCTACAGATAACTCAAAATAACAGCAGATAAAGCCAAAACTATAGGGGCAAATTGGGTGAACTGACAATATCACCTCTATTATCTCTCATATTTACTCGGCTTTTGCTCTTTCGCTGCTCCCTTTCCTCCTTTTTCCTCATCGTTTATTTCACTAAATCATTCCTGTCGGATCCTTTTCCTCTCTCCGTCAGCAGCTCACGATTCCTTGATAGCGTTTGTGTAATCAGTGTGACTCACAGATAAATATCAGTAAACAGTGAGTGACGTCTCCCAGCTGGTTTCGATTTTTCTGCTGTCTAAGCAGGTCAGGAAGCGTCTTACACCGGATCACAAAACCAGAATTTGATACCACACAAATCCCAGAAGACCAGTAGGGTCTCACCACTGATGTCCATGAATTATACATTTGTTTGAGAGCACATCTTTGGACACTAACACACATATCGAAATAAAACGTACATCAAGAAAATCGACACCATTTTTGAGTGAAGTCATCTGTGAACACACACTCTTTAGTGTTACAGGACATGACAGGTGTCAGCATGTATTCTTTTCCATATTAGGGGGATTTTCACCTCAAGTCAATACTTCTGTTTGAAGTCAATGGGAGTTAAATTCTTCAGCTCTCCAGTCCAGGGGTTAAAGGAAGTTCACAGGCCATCAATGCAAATGAACAGCTTTCAAAAGTAATTTAACTCCAAGTCTGTGTGTGCGCCAATTGAGTAGCTCATGGGCTTCTTTGGGAATTGGAGGAACTTGGCAACAGGACTTGTTTGACCAATCGGGAGTACCAGTAACTACATAATAAGATAATCTCAAATAAAACCAACTCCAAGTGTGAAAAATCCCTGATGTGATGTAATGTTTGCCGACAACAGAATTTATACTTGGCAAATGAAATATTTCAGCTACTTTTGACATAACAGAATACTTCAATTTACCTCTACAACATAGTCTCAAAACACGTCTTTGCAATAACTTTCAATCCTTCTATATTTATGTAGCAACTACTCTCACAATAGGTTATCTCGAGACACTTACAACACAAGCATGTCCACTGTACTCTTTATGTTTTTTTACAAAGACTCAACTGTAGTTCTTTTAAACACAGTGCCAGTAGCAGTGTAACAATTTGGTGACCAGACTCTTGTTGAATATGCAAGCTATGTTAGGTCCAACTAAGAAATTTGACTTGCAAATTCAGCCTGAGTTTTGCATTTATATGTATTTCAAAAGTCTAGTTTCACTAGGGCAAATGTACATTGACTGTCTTCATGTTACATAAAGGTGCAAAGTGTACCGGTCCCCTTGTGATTGAAGCCTGAAGCAGCAAATCTAGGAGTTGGTACAAGTCTGAACCAGTCCATCTTTAAGCTTTATCAATAAGAACGGGAAAGCATACTCTTTAAACTGGAGCGGATGTCTGCCTCAAAGACACTGAGACGGACTCGATCACTGAAGGCTCTACTTCCCATACCACTTCAGGTACCACCAGTTGGCCAGCGCTCTATGAGCCTAGTGTTGTCGAGGGGTGATCAGGTAAATTAGATCTTTTGGATAGGATGGTGTCTTGCGTTATAGGGTTTGTTTATTTGTTTTTTATGGTTTAAAATCAGTGTAGCTAAGTATCTTTACATTTACCTGAAGACCTGCATCACTTTTTTAACACAGACTTGCACCGAATAAAAATTTAATGAGAAACAGTAAACCAAGCATCAAGTTACCGCTGACTTCACGGTGAATGGAGTATTTCAGAAACTTAATGGTGAACACATTTCCCATGTTCGAGCGCATTCCTCTTCCAACTATTGATAAAATGTGAAGCTAACAGCGTAATAAGCTGAGTTTGGCTCCAGCAAGTGCCAAGCCTTCACGGAGGACCTTACACTGCTTTTATTGTAGGTAAGCCACAGTCTAGTCAAACATGCAATGCAACACAGTGCTGTATTTTGCTCGTCACATTCATGCTCTGTTTCCTCCATTGCATCATTCACAGAGTGTTGTTAAGTATTGGCAGGTACTTCCAAATCTGGTTGGATTTAATGAAAAGTGACGGCTCATTTTAAACAGCCCCGGTATATGAAACTGCGCTCCATCTGCCTAATCCCAGAAGGCTACGAATATCCATATAAATATGCCGCATTTGTCTAAATCCACACATTTGACAGCCCGCAGAACGAGCAATCGTTTAAGATTGACAGACACCACGGTCTGCTGAAAAATAAATAAATACATAAAATAAAACTGCAGCCTCACTTCACCGTTCCATCTTCTTTTCCAGTTTGGTTATATTGAAATCACGTTGCCTTCCCTCTGCCTGGAGGGTTTCAGAAGAGTTTTTCGGCATCAGTTTTAAAAGGGAATTGCATCCAGATGTGGCCTAGGCTGAGCTTTCGGTCAGTCAGGGCTGGAGGCTGAGGATAGGTGAACAGGGTAAAGGAGTCAAGGAGGAACCACGTGTTTTTGGGCACACTCCGAGATCCACTGGATAAACATGACCTCCCTGTGACCCCTTACGAGCTGGCGTCGTCCCCAAGGGGCTTCTGAAGGTCCATTAAACCTGTTCAGATACCTCTGCCCTATTTCAAACTCAATCAGCGTCCCACAGGAGTTCTGTTGTTGTGCCGTTAGTCCATGACACACAACAAAGGCCTCTGTTGCTGGGGAGTCAGCCTATATACCTACAGGAAAGGCTTTGGCTCCGCTGAAGCAAAACAATTCAAGCACAAAATTGAGTTTTGATTCTTTTTCCTAACAATATCCAGCTCACACACAATGGAGGCGTGGAGACAGTCCCAAAGGATAACACGCATGGCTTCTGAAAGGTTATTTTTCATCAATGCATCCTGGAGTTGTGTCTAAAATCAGCCTCTCTGCTCTTGTAATGGATCCCTGCGGCTGCACTTGGCCGTCACGCTCCGGTTGGTGGGTTGCGTCATGAAAACAGTGCAAGGAATAAGACTGGTGTTTTTTAAACTGACATCCTTACTGTCCATCAAGTGTAAAACAAAACAGATTTGTGGTGTCGATCGTCGATGGCGAATGAGTGCATTTGCTTTTACCACCAATGGTTGGTCACACATGGGGGAAGTTTTGATGACTAAGGCCACATTGCTCACTGCTGTATCACTTCCATGTTGATTGAGGGTGGTCTGAGAAGGTTGCGCCAATTTTGTATTCATGAAAGAATCAAGTAGGAAAAGCTTCCCTTGACCAAACACAGATGAAACAAGAGGAAATGTTTTTTGATGCCAGCACACACGCAGAGAAACAAATCTATGTGAAACAGGATAATTGCTTATAACACAATTAGATGTTGTCTCAATGTTGCCTTCTCTTGTCACATTGTGTAATGTGGTGGATTACAGTATCATCACCTCTGTAGCGCCACTTCATTTTTTCAGGCTGTAACCTACTTTGGTTTCACAGTTAGCGGTGACTCTGCAGGCTTCATCAGCTCCTCTTAACACCAATTTTAGCAGCACTAGAACCAGCACTGCAGGCTCTTATTTTCACATGCTGAGCAGTAATTATGGAATGTAATTATCTAGTCATGCATCGCATTCCTTGTAAAAGTGTATCGATTCCAGCTGTGATGTAGGCTCCCCTCTGCTCGGAGCAATGAACCAGCGGGAGAAGACGGCAGGATTTTATATTTGATTAACAGTGTGATCATTATGTTTTAAAACCAGAAATACGTATATTTTTTATATGGATTTAAACAAACTAAACACTGTTTAGTGTCTCATTTACTTTTACATGTTTTTAAATAACCAATCATAGAATAAAAGAAGTCTCACAAAATTTTATCATCTAACTGAAATCTTTTTAGATATTTTTAGATGTGTAATCGTCTCAGGAGACTAAAACTTGGTGAGTAAGTATTTCAATGAATCTTTACTTTTGAAGCACTGATTTACACCAAATGTTATCTCAAAAAGAGAGGTCTAGACTGTTCTCTTCATTTAGTTATTCAAAAAGACCCAACAATAAAATTCATGGGCCGAATCCTTTGAATGTTTAGCTCTGTTCGTCAAACAGATCTACAAGGTGTTCTTCAACATGAGACCACAACAACGCAATGTCACTACCTTACTTATCTGCTTTGACATAAGGAGAGTAGAGATCCCAGCTATGTTAGAATCAAGGGACGAAATGGAAATCTTGTGTTTCATAATGACATGAAGTTAAACAGAATTGAAATTATAAGGGCCTGTGTCCACTAACCTCTTCCTTTGCAGCTGCAGGGCCCTACACCTCAATTCAGAAAGGTCCAAAATTACACTATTCCCAACTGAGAGCACTAAGCTCACCAACGCCTTTTGAACATTTGCACGTCAGGTGCTGGATGTTCAAAATGCTGCATTGGAGTTTCTTTTGAGAAAACGGATGCTCTCAGGACAAAAAAACATCAATTGGTGGACACAGGCCCTAGACAACAATAAGTATATTTGTTTCTTCCCGCAAACAAGGAAAACTATAATTACAAGATGCTTTAGGAGGTTAAACGCTGTTAAAAGAAATTTACCATCTTTTATATATTTGTTACTAAAGCAGATGAATCAGGTCCTCATCATTAATAGCTTTCAGAATTAAAGCTCAGTGCAAATCTTGCTGTTAAGATATAGCAAAAGCCTGAACATGTGAAGGTTTAACTTGAGATTTAAAATAAATGAGTCCAATGTAAAATGTATATCTCTACATATATAAGTTCAAAGTTTGATAAAACTCAACCTGACATGAGGAAACCATCTCAAGGTTTGGCAATTGGAAGAAATATCGTTTCATAGAAAGAAATGTTTACTTTTCCCATGGCTCAACATTGACTGTGTTTGTTAAATCACACAAGAGGAATGAAATCAACCATCGGATGGTCTCTGCTTCGACATACCAGATCTCACAGAGCGAAGAAGTTATTCTCGGGTGGCCACAAGATTATTTGGATGCTTGTCAAGGCTTTAAATAAAAAACCACAAGTATTCATAGTGCTTAGCCCAAACCCTTGACTGATCAGAGGCTTTGAGTGGAGTGAGTGGTTTTCTCACAGGTACACAAGGAGCAGTGAACCCCCACACCCCACACACACGCAGACACTGGGCTTTACTCATTCACAAGAAGATAGTCCAGACATCTGCCAGAAACAATTCCAGTCACTGGCCTTCTACCATTCTGTGCTGACAATTAAACCTCTTTTTTTGTATTGTGAATGTGTTGTGAGTCTAAAATGACCACGATGTGACGGCGCAGCTATGTTGAGAGTGTGATAAAAAGAGATGTCTGGCTTTTCAAGAGCAGCTCTGCCCACACATAAAAGCCTCCACAGAAATGTTACGAGGTGACACATTGGGATATCACAATAGCCCAGAAACAAAAACGTCCAACTATGAATAAGAACATATTATCATCTTTGGTGTTGCATCTAAAGATGGTCCAAAACACCAACAACCAGAAACACTTTTCAGGGTGAGGGAATTGTAGTCCTGGCCTGCAGATCTCAAAGACTTGTTTTATTGGTGTGGTTTTTGGATTTATCTCCAGAAGAAATGTTTACTTTGGCCAGAAAATTAAAAACAGCAGGCTTACAAATTACTTTTGCAACCAGATATAAATAATTACGGCAACATTCATTAAGTGTACCATCTAGTAAACATTGAACACATAAACAATAACTTGTCTGGGGCACTGTTAGGGAATCCAAGTACAGTCCAAGTACGCCCCATTTACAGAAGATACATTCCCATAGCAGCAGTCGCAGGCTGGACTTGTAGATTTATGCCAATGATTTCTTGATAGTTCATGAAGAAAGACGTAACTTTAAGAATGCAGTTGTAATACTTGAAGAAAAAAGTTTTAACTTCTTAAGAAAAAGTCAATATTTGGAGAGTAAAGATGTGACTTTAGGATATTGCTGGTCAACATGGTATTTTGAAGGAGCTTGACTTTATTTCTGTTAACATCACTATTGTAATGTTACAACTTTTTTCACACCTTAAGTTTTTTTCTTCTTGTGACTCTGATCCTCTATCCTATTTATTTGTCTTACTATCTAGATCATTTTGATTTAGATTTTATTTGTCCCATAGCAAGATTTATCTTTACTGACATTACATTACACATCTCAGATGACAACGGACACTACATACACACCAACAATAAGTGACATGCAAAATAACAATAAAAACATTGACAACTTAAAAGACAGCACAATAGTGGACAGACAGATTAACAGGGCCTGCTGTTAAGGGCGGCAATGGCTGCAGGGATCAGGCTTTTACCCAGACGAGCCCTCCTAAGCTTAATAGTTTTGTACCTGTGCCTATATCTTTATTGATTAAGTCTGTGATAAAGATTAGCTGAAATATCCTGTTTGATCACAATTTTGTTGATTGAGCATTCATATTCATGCACCAAAAGGAAGGTCCAATCCACACTTTGATCCCAAACCTACCACCATTATTCCAAAACAGCCCCGAGAGAGGGTGTATTTTGCTTTCAAAAGACAGAATTACTTCTTATAAAATGAGGTATCTAAGGGAGCTCACTGTCACAAAGTCATATTCGTTCCTGGGCATTGAAGGTGGAGTCTTTAGTGGGATTATTGGGCACATTTTGACTTCCAGCCAACTGCCTTGCATAGTCATAAGTCTGTGTTGGAGTAGCTAAGAGGTCCTTATACATTCTTAAAGGGTGAAAAGTCCAAAGGCGAATGCAGCATCAAAGACTATGACTATAAAACATAAAGAGTACCTTCAGAGTGGATTGATGCATGAACTCTGGGTGAGCTTCTCAGAGTTTCTTCTCTGAATAGAAGCCTTCAGTGGCACCATGCCACCCTAATCCCTCTGGACAACATGCTTCTCTTCATAAAGTACAATAAAAATAAGCACATATTATGTCTTTATGTTACACTAGTATATGTTGAAACATAAAGCACGTTATTGTTCGTTGTTAACTAACACCGAGCCCCGGCCCCATCAGCCAAAACCACTAATTGGCCAACCACAGACGCTCTTGCCAACTTCCCCAAAACTAGCAACAAGCTGAGCCCTGGAGAGTAATTCTGCCAAACAAGGACAACAGCCAACAATGTGTTGCTCCTGTCAAAGGTCATTGAAATTATCTGTCTACAAATTACTTTGTGGGCTCATGGTAATGTGAGGCCTGTGGGTGGGGGAGCGACAAATTCAAGTCTCCTGGATAATATCGAGTTGGTTGGAACCCAGGAAAGCATCATCAGAGTTCAGATGATCTCCCTGCGATCCTAACCGCTGACATAGAGGAAAGACGCATCATTGCAGAACACCGGATCTGCAGCAGCAGCTCTCATATCAGATTCCTTACATAGTTTGTGTTATTGAAACACAGCCAGATGGAAATGATACAGCTGCTCTTTTGTCATGTTGTGATTTAGGACGGATTTACACAGAAGTTTTGATTTATTTTCAGGCTGTGAACATCCAGCCAGCACTGACGTTAGCATTTAATAGACCTCATACTGGCAGTATTCCGTCCTTATGGGTTTATCAAACTGTCACAGTTGTAACTTTTAAGTCCGAAAGCTATACGCCTGACAAGAATTAATATAGAAATCTACAGTATGCGACATGCTCGCTGACATGTCAGCACCTGTGTCCTCAGCAAGTAAACAGGTGTTCCCCCCCTCTGTTCCCTACTTAACAAGAGCAGCAGTTTTCTCCCACCAAAGACACTGACCTACAGCGAAAGTTCAACAGTCCGCCGCCCTGAAGGCAGTAAAGGTCGTTCAAGTAGGGCACAAGTGGCAAAGTAATCACTATAAAGTAAGAACAGAGTCTTGGGGGAAGGTTGGGAAGAGCTGGTTCCTCCTCAGACAAACAGTGTCATTAGCACTTTCAGAGGGAGTCCCAGCAAGGGGTCAGGACTTCAGGAGTTTGATCTCTGTAAGAGCGTCTGAAGCCATGAAATGTGGGGGCAAACGCAAACCATGGGGAAGGGGCACAAATGGTAGAGCGATCACAGGGCTCTGCTTTAAAAGGGGTCAGATGGCTTTTTCATCTTTAAAGGCGATCAGTGAAAGTGACGTGGTGCACAAAGGACAGGCGCTGGGTTGATTGACAGACACTGGAGGACGGGGTTAATGCTATTCTGCATACATCCATACATCCTCTGCTAAAGGACAATGAAGCAGAAACAGCCAGTGAGAGCAAGCAGAGCAGCCGGACAGGTCTCAGAGATGAGGAATTGGAGATATTAAGTGATGGATGCTAAACTGTCAGTTTTAATAGGAGGGATTGCAGAGGCACTGTACTGCTGCTTCAGGAGTCCAGGAGAGAACAGTCCAATGATCAACACAAGGGAGCCAATTAAAAACCAGACTTTGGCAGCCAACTGCGTTACCCCGACCCTCATGTGACGCTGGAAATACTTCAGAATCCACAGAGGGGGCTGTTTTAATATCATTTTTATTTCCTGCAAAAAACCAACCCTGCGTTTTTAGTCTCAGTGCTACAGGCAAGTATCGATCTGTGGTCTCCTGTTAAATCACTGAGAATCCACTTTAATTATTTCTAACTGAGTGGCTGCTGTGGAATCTGGTTTCACTCTCTTGTTATGGTGAAAAAGGGATGAGTGCTGACATCATCCCCTCCTCTGATAAGACAGGGAGCCAAATGACAAGGTCACTGAGGTGGAGGAGGTGAAGCTGCACTCCATTCTAAAGATAACAGCGAAGCTTCCTTTAAACTGAGATCAAACACTGAGGCTGCTTTTTTTCCACTCAACGATTGAGTTTGTCTCAGTTCTCAGAGTTGGGTTGTTTTTCTCTCGCTAATTGGAGAGAAGACTCACAGACGGATGGAGGAGATAGCTGGAACTGTGGAAGGTCGCTGATATGAAGTTCCTTTCCTTGGTCCTGATGCTTTGAAATGGCTTCAAAAGCTCTGTGTTTTCTTTAAAAATAAATCCCATGAGACAGCAAGGCGTTATCCGACTGGTAGAAATCTGCCAGGTGACCATTCCTGAGCAGGAACTGTGTTGGCAAAACGAGATGGATTCTAAATACAGCTGAGTTATTTCTGTATGGGAACTTCGACACTGAAAGAGTAATTATGCTGGAAGTAGCTAATTACATGGTGAGCAATCAATCTTAAGCAAATCAAAGAGAAGTAACGGCAAACAAACAGCTTTTCAACTCTTCCGACAACAATGATCTGTCACAGAAAAAGCAGTTAATGAGATTCAAATGAATGCTGCACTTTTATTAACTTAAGAAAGGATGCCACACATAGTAAGCAAATCAGAGATAATCTACAACACATGGATGAGCCTTTACAGGAAGGTCCTTGTTGAACCCAGGGTTAAAATGTTGTGAATAGAGCTCCTGCAGAGAGCTCTGAAATAAATCTGTGAACAGAGTCTAAAAATGACTTGAGTGTACCTGGGCCAGATTGTAATATCTCTGCATCCTGGAAGAAACTTAAGCAGACTTGGTGACAGACATAGTGAGTGCAGAGTGACAGAGATGTTTCAGGGTTGTCTATTTGACCCTATGTTGTAACCAGGCAGGGGGGCATGCTGGAAATAGTGCTTCTCAACAAGTCTTTGGTGTCTCCTCCATTTACACTTCGACGACCAACGCTGCTACCTGACTGAGGTTCACAGAGTGTTTATACACGCCCACTAAAAACAAATAAAGCTGAGTGGGGTATTGTGTGGGTCATGAGTTGAAGATGCTTGAGCAACACTCACTTATTTTTGTCTTCTTGCTGAGGTGATTCTTGACATCACTGTAGTGTGGCAGCGATTGATCTGATCAAAATCCTGACTGAAGATTTCCTGGCACTAGCCTACCTCTGTATTCCTGTTTTTACAAGTATCCTCTTGGGAAGCAAGACTTTTGATTTAGCTGATACCGGATATGCTGATAGTTTCAAACTCATTTGTCTGGTAACGATACCAGCACGAAAATATACACCCCTTTTTAGTGTGCAAGAGTAAAGAACTGATCTACTGGGACCAAAATTGTATTTTGCTACAGGCTGTAAACATTCCTAGGATGGGTTTTAGACATTTATGAAATAGACAGATATTCATATTGACACCTTTTTATGATATAAAAATGAAACAAGACCAAGGCAACAGAAGTTATGATTCTGAAACCCATGTTAAGGGAAGGTGTCAGTCGAGCAGCCAAAGAAACCCCTTGTCAATTGCCATTTTGGAGATACATGTAACTGGACAATTCTCAAGCCTTGGTTTCCATATTGGGACCCAATGGGGAAAACTCTTTCCCACCATCTAAAACTGCAACCAAACAGACTTCCACGCTTATACAGTAACATCTGCTGAACACCGAGCAACAGTAGTATGACACATCTGCAGCGCTTACAATAACTGTAACTCATGTGTTTGAAGATCAGAATAGGAAACACATGTCTGTCATTCAACCTTCAAAGAGAGTTACAACCTACAGCTGAGAAGCTAAGAATCCTCCCTCAATGAAGATTTTATGTAACCAACACAAAAATACCTCCAAAAAAAGGGGGTCAGTGCTACCAATGCCATGATGTGGTACTGGAGAAGGAGGTCAAGGCTCAAGAGGTGAACAGGCCACTGTCAATTGAGACATCTGTTAGGAAATATTTCCTGTCTGTATGTCTTCATCTGGTGTTTGAGTTACGAGGGTCTTTGGTACAGTGGAAATACAAACACAGCTCACATGCAGCTCGCTGGAATCCGGACAAAGATTTAACTGGTTGTCAGACCATCAAAGGGGCTCTCCATCATCGGTCATATGAGGATCAAATATTTGGAAAGGCTTTTGTTTGGTGAACATAAACAAATGTGTCCAGCAGACCTATTTTACTGCTGACCACACTTGACTAAAATGTTGCCTGTGTTAGATATAAGTTCCACTCCTGGTAAATCAAACAGCAGTTGTGCAACCTTCTGCTTGGTGGCCTTGTAAATTTTGGTCAAAACATTTTGAAATGGTTAAAGCCATGTAAATTTATCTCATTCTCTACAGAATTTCAGATTATTGTTTGTAGGTGTTGGGAAACTTCTCACCACACACTATTTTGAGACTGGTGTGAGACTGTGTGCAGACAGAGTCATCTTTCCAGTTGGGAGAATGTCATGCTGCCCGGGTGAATTCCTTGCCCCTAGTTTTGGAAATGACCCCTCACCCCTCGCCCAACAAATCTTCAGGTCCACAGGTTCTGCACTGTTGGGAGTCCAATATGGCAGTTTGTGAAAGCATCATGGTCCATTTGAAGAGACAAAAGAGGGGACCTGTTTTCTCAGTCAGGTTCATGCATGATTCTTCTGTCTGCAACCTGTTGTGTAGTCACTTAGACACCTGTTAGTCATGGTGCTCAGTGTTGTTTGAGCCAAGCCAGCAGAATGATTTGCAAGGCTTTATATGGTTCTACTTACACTGAATGAGAAGCAACACAGACATTTCATTAAAAAAAGTTGATTTAAAACAGAGATCCAGATTCCCCGTTGAGCTTTGCTTGTGTAGTCACAGCAGTAATGCATCAGCAAATGTTGAAAGTCAAATCTACGATCAGCAATTGTTTCCTGCCCCATGGGTCCTTTGGCTGATTCCAATGGTTACTTCAGAAATGTCAAACTAGGCTTCAAATCATTCATGTTTAATTTTATTTCTCTTTTAGATTTATGTGGTAGTTACCCATAAAGCATGTCCAATGGATCTAAAAGAACACAGATGAGGCCCTCAACGATATCTTCATATTACTTGATTTGTTGACCCAGATGTCCAAATTCATGTTGAACAATGCAAACAAAAATTAAGAGTTAAACATCCACTTCTAGGAAGTAAGTGCCATCAAATTAATTAATCTAATTACTCTTAAGGTTTCTCTTTTTTACTTTTATTTTAACTAGTAAAAGTTTGAATGTTATATTACTATACATCGGGGTAAACTAATAAAGAAGTGCACTGATTCAATAGTTATCACTCATTATACTGAGGTTTCATTGTCACAGAGATTGTGGAGCAGTCTCTGAGCTTATTGCTGCTGTGGTGTCTTCATAGAAAAAGGAGCAACCAAAATGACTCCAAGGCTCTATGCTTGAATGATGAGCACACTCGCCCTGCGCCCCAGAGATCTAAAACAAATTTTAAGCCATGATCAAACCTGAACTATGTTTGGGTCTGCCATGCCAAAAGCTCCTAAAACTACTTGGACAGGAGAGGATCTAAGGGAGAGGAGGGAAACCAGAGAAGCTAAATGTGAAGATACATGATATAAGCCTTCATGGAGGTTGTACCTGACAAAGTATCCCCCATACTGAAAATTACTCAATGACTGTAGGCTGTATTGACTGCAACTGTCATACTATCAAAAGGCTTCTTGCCTCTTTTCTGCTTCTGGAACTTTGGCAAAATGCAGCAATTGCAAAAGATGCTTTGAAAAAGGGGTACTGATCTGAAACATAAAGTTTGAAGCAGGTCAGAGTCTGTAGGTGTGAGTCAGAGTACCTCCCTGTAAAGCCACGAGACATAATATAGAGAAACTAACTTGATTAAAATGCAAAGTTTTGTCCAGAAATGAACCTCCATTGCCTCTTTTCACCAACAAGAAATGCACATTTTTCAAAGCTAGATGTTTTGCTCTACACCTTTACCTCTCTGTCCCACTCAATAAACCTCCTGAGATCCCTCCCACTCACGCCTACTCATGCTATCCCTGTGCCCCCCGCCCTCACTTTCTCTGTCTTTCACATGCTGCTGCAGTCAAGACGAGATAAAATCACTCCATCAGTGGTGGTGCCTCTACTGTCACTGGCATTAGACAGCTCCAGAAAAGGCCGTAATTACACAACTCAAGCTCTGGTAATTACCCTACAGTGGCCCAAATTACCCCATTCTCAGGGCGATTACAGCCCACAGGGAGGAGCCTGACTTTAAAAAGCCCTCCATATATGATTGAAGGGGGTGGGGGTGATGTAAGCAGGACAAATGTGGCCCTTTCATCAGGTGACATGGAGAAATGGCAGAAATAAGCAGGTAAAAGGAAACAAAAGTCCTCTCTTGATCTTAAACCACAGACTCTATGAGGGAGTATAAAGGGCAGCAGTACACAGCTGTTTGGATTAAAGCTTGGCTGTAAAGACTACAACTGCAACAAAACAACATGACTGAAAGCTGGATCTGACATCTAAGAGCTTGAAACTTTGCCAAAGGTGACAGTCTATGGCTCCATCATACAGTGTTCAAGAGTGTATCTTACACAGATCAGCGCATCCGTTTTCTGTCTCAGCATTTTTGGAACAAGAAGGGCCATGCTGCCCTGAGCATATCGCTCTCTCCTTCCCCCCCTGAGGACATGCTGACTGGAGGAGGGATCGATGCTCCGCTCCAACAGACACTGGTGTGTCGATTCAGCACCTGGGCCACAGAGATGAGGCAGTGGAGAGAGAAGAAAGGGACATCTCAACTAACTCTGAAGAACTTGTGGCATCTTTTGTGAAGGTGAGTCATTTTTGTGCTTGCAGGGACCCTTGGGAGCGCTGTACACTGGCTGATGTCCTTTGGTGGAACACTGCAGTAAGGTGAGCCAGTGCAGATAATATGCTGCACCACGAAGATAAATGACCAAAGCACAAGTCCTCAAGTTTAAATTTGTTTAGTTTGTTTTTTGCACCTCTAAAAATAGAACATACTGACAAATATAGAGAATGTTTAGTGTTTGCAGACCATCTGCACATTTAATTATCAGATAGTATCCTCTTATGCTCTTGTATTGGGTTTTTAATGAGGTATACTACAGTAAAAAGTGCCTCCTGGGAATATTAACCACCAGCAACAGCAAAAACTGCAGCTTGGTTTGAGGTCCTATAAAACTAATGAGATGGTTACCCTTCAGTTTGACTTGTTCAGGACAATGCAATGTCTCATTATTCTTTCATAATAAATCGGTCAAATTAGCGAGAAAAAAATACTTTTAAAAAATTCGTTGCATTTTTCGTAGCTCCAGCCTTGACCACAGACCACCTCTACAGATTGTGTATTTACACTTAAGTCTTCAGCTGTGAAGACAAAAGATTCAGAGCTTCCACTACTGGCTGGCTGCAGTACAGCTAATAAACCCCGCTTTCCTCATGTTTCCTCATGTCATGTTAGTTCTTAATATTAGGACCCTTATTGTTATAACTGCATTTTGCACTTTTTGTCTTGTCTGTGATGCTGCTGTGACAAAAAAATTTCTCCCATGGGGGATCAATAAAGGAATATTCTATTCTATTCTATTCTATTCTATTAAAGGGATATTCCGGTGTAAAATTAAGTTAGGGTCAAACACACCGTAACACCGAGTTAGACACCCCCTCCAGAGATGAATGTTGCCGACTCTAGTTATACCAACTTTAGTAACGGCCACACGCTAGCAATACACAGCAGTCTATCACTCCACACGCAAATCTTAACCAAAAAGCCACTCTTTAGCCACAAACAATGCTCAGAGCAGCACCTAACTTCATCAACAGCACATATAGGGTTCCCAGCCACAGCACTAGCCACCAAACATCTGCCTGGAGCCTGGAGCCTGGATCTAAAGTTAAATACATCAAAAACAATCTCAAACATGGTCCCTGTAGCTAGATCTTAGACTGCTAATTAATGTCAATGTTTTCTGCTTCAGATCAACACAAATGTGTAAATGCGTGTTTTGGTTGGCACCGTGACTCTACTAGCTAGGTCCCCTCTGTGCATGCCTTTGCTACTCAATTGAATCACGTCAGTGCCAGTCCAGGCAGTTTTTTGGCTTCACAATGAAGTAAGTTATTTGGTCACCAGTTGATGAAGTCAGGCTCGAGTGTTTAGAATCTGTCAATGGCACACCAATATCATAAATAGCAATTTCAGTCCACGAGGAGCTATTATTTCAAGGGGTCCAGTGTTAAAAACTGTTGAGGTATCACTGGATTTTTCTTTAACTGCACTGAATCGGGTGCACGCCCAAAGCCTTGCAGCCATAATGGGAATCTGTTTTGTCAAAGCAACGGAACAACGTCATTAGCATACATTTGGCATTATTCATAAGTGTGCTTGAGGATCAGACTGGGACATCTGCTATGTGTTGAGTGAGTGAGGAGGGCCATTTGAGTGAGCGTGCTGAGGACCCTGATTGATGTCGCTCGCAGCGCAGAGTCCCGGCGGTCCCATTAGCAGCTACAGTCTGCATTACTTTCACCCTCTGCAGCCGTGATGGAGGGCTGCCCCGCCACCACAGTCATCAGTAACCTGCCCTGTCTATGAAACGACACGCAGGGACAAATGAATCGAACACAGCACTTCCCAAATGTACACTGGAGGAAACCATATATACACCATTCTGTAGTGCAGCCCACAGCTCTTGTGAAATGGCTCCCATTTCTGGCGGCGCATTTGGCATCCATCAAATTCAAGATCACCTTTCATGGCTGCTGTTGCCTTTGTGGCCATAACAACTCACCTGAGATCAATAAAAGAGGAATACCACTGGATTACTTGAAAATATTTACTTGACAACACAATTTCATGTTATGTAAAAGCAGAATCTTGTTGCTTTGTTTTGCTAGAATGGTCCAGATGCTACATTTTATTACTTCCCTTTTCCATTCAGTGAGTAATAATATTGGCGGCATTCGCAGGTGCAACACAGATATCATCTCTCATGTGGCGCTTCAAAGGTCACTTTTACATACATGTTCCTGCTCCACAAGAGTCTGCTATCCTTGACAACAAAAGTTCTGTGGAGGAGGGATACGTCAGAGTTGAACATTCCAATTTGGCAATTCCCATGGCCTCTGGCATGTATGAATTACCCACAAAGCCCTGCGGACCATGCCATATGTCATACTAGCGCTCTTAAACTGGAATCAAATGTCCCCGGCTTTTAAGCAGCTCTGTTTTTAACTATACTCGAGACAACACAGTCAAACAAAAGGCTTCTTGTACCCTCAAGTAGTTCGTCCCTCAACCCCAAAACAATTAGCTTCAGACATGACAACAGCACTCTGATGTATTTGCAGAAAAATAATTTACCCTCACAATCTAATTACTCTGATCCCTGCAGCCCCAAAAGGCTTCCAACTCACAATGGAGCTGTTTGTAGAGAGCTGAGTGGGGATTTTAGCTGACATGATTGTGATGAATATGTAACTCAAGCAAGACAAACAAGCATGGATATTTAGGATTCTATAATAATTGAATTAAGACCTGACAAGACCTGTCTTGTTCTTGGGAATTATTCAGATGCTCCAGTTGTTTGATATACAACTACATGACTTTGAGCACATGTGCATATTTTCTGCATCTTTACATCTGCAGCCAGGAGTACATGATAGATTACATTAAGGTTAGTTGTGCAAGACAACAAACCTCATTATGTGACTGCATGTGCATGTGGACATTAGAAGCAATTACTGTCTTTATGACACAGATGACTTCATGAGAATCATTAGAAGCGGAGTTGAATCAGTGGAACTCTGCTTACTAACATCAAAGCAGAAACTGGAATGTTTGTTATGGAGCGGCTGATGATAATCTGAACTCCACAGGACTTCACTGTGGAAGCTCAAAAGGCCACTGAAGTCATGCCATTCATGCTGTTTGCATGTCTTGGATGAAATTGCACGCCCTGTCTTTCATGCTCGCTCCAATTTTCCTGCATCCCCTTAAATGTAAGAGCGTTGCAGAAGGAAGAAAGAAAGGACAGACTTTCTTATAGATTTAGATCATTAATATAATCAAAATACGGAGGTCGATGCTCTGTGCAAACATACATTTTGAAATGGACATTAAATTTGAGTGCCCTACTTTTCTTTTCTTAGGCGAGGCTCCTGAAAACACAACTGTGAAGGTTCATCGCTACCATCACTACCTCTCAAGTTCAGCCAAAGGCCGCCAGCAAAAACACTAATTCCACAAAGAGGAACATGGCAACTTTAAGCCTCCCTTCAACACTATTACAAATCCGCTCTGACAATGCTCCTGACAGCCTCCCTCTCTCTCAGCCCTGGCTTCTGTCGGACCACATAGAGAAAGCAGCAGCAGCAGCATTGGTAGTGGTGTCAGTAATGAGAATGGATGGCAGCTTGGTTACACAGGCTCAGCCTCATTGATCACACGGCTGCGAAGAGTGATGAAGCTCAGCGCATGGAGAAAGCAGTGTGCATGTTCTAATACTCCTCAAATCCATTCTCATTTGGCCTTATATTGATAACTTCTCCCCTCTAAGCCTTTGTAGTGTTGTGCTGCTGTGCATGTTGGAGTACAGTGGAGAGTAAACACCATTTTACAGACATTGAGCAGGATCCATCATCCAGCAGAAGGCAGATACAAGTGGAGACATTTATGGATGCAATTGGGATTGTTGAATGTCTGTATGAGTGTGTGTGTGTATATGTTCAATTGCAGTGATCACTTCTAACTGTAGGCTTTGTCGATACATGCATTAAGGTCTGCTGTGGGCTGAGGAATGAATTATTTGATTGAGTTACTTTAACACTCCACTGGCTTGGAGTTCGTCAGCATCAATCTCAATGGCCATCCCTTGTCACTGACTGATGCTGAGGTAGCAAATGTGAGAATTGCTTTTTGTCAGCTGCCCATCGGGACTGCAATGTTTTTATTTTAAACCATAAGAATAACTGAAACAAGTCAAAACACCTCATAAAGCACTTCCACTTAGCTAATCGCTTCATGTCTTTGTCAGATTTTTTAAGACTTTAACCCTAACCTGTTTGCCAGCTGCAGCTTGACAATGTGGGATTTCTTCAAGTGGAGAACTGCTGCTTTGTGCGCTGCTGTCAAACAAATCAGTCAACTCAGCGAACTGGACAGATTCAAAGGTCTGGAGCAAGGAAGGGTGACTTCATCTTGGATGAGGACTTATTTCAATGCATATATGTGGTTGCTTTCCCCACACCATAAACACACTGTAGTCCTTACTCCATCTCTGAAGTGGTCGCATGTGTCGGTGGAGGATTATATTTGATCCAAAACAATCACCCTTCACTATAGTCCCCTTTTTTTCTGTCCTCTCCTCTTGTCCATGCCTCATAAATGTCATCTCAGTCTGTCTCAGCATTAATCTCTATGAGGCTGGGGCCCACTGACTCTCCAAAACAAACCAGTCTTGTTGAACTGCTCCCCTGCTGAACAGCAGAAGCTTGGCAAGGCTGGAGGAAACAGGGAAGTATGGACTTGGAGAGGGAGAGAAGGGGTGTCTCTGTCATTTCTTTCTCTTTTTTATTGATGCAGAGGCAGCAGAAGCAACAGTGGGGTCTCCAGTGGGAAAAATATCAGCAGCATTATGGAGTGGGCTTGAGCCTGCCATCACTATCAATGAGAGGAAGAGGCCTGTCAGAGCGCACAAAGGGGAGAAAGACACAATCCCAGACAAAGAGTAACAGGAGGGATGGAGGGAAGGAGAGAGGAGCGGGAGAGAGAGGAAAACAACACATGAGGAAGCAAGAGAAGGACAAAGAGAAGGATTAAAAGGCATTCCAATTAGAAATGGATGGAAAGAGCTAAAGAGAGCACTGATGAGAGACTTAGATAAACCACAACAAACATGCCAGCAAATTGAAAGAGATAGAGAGAAGATAGCAAGGCAGAGATAGGAGGACAATGAGAGAAAGACAAAGAATGAGCAAGAGTGAGCGAAAAACAAAGAGAAATTAATTAATGATTTTATAGGAGGAGAATGGAAAGGAGCAACAGGGGAAAAAATAGACAATACGAGACAAAATTAGATGAGAGGGAGAGAAACGTCCTGTCACAGTGGCACACCAGAGCCTGCATGTGGCACCACTTGATAAGACGCTTCTTTGCCACCTTCCATGCTGGCACCCAAGTCCTCCCCTCCCCTTCCCTGCCGTCCCCAACCATCTGTGCCATACAAACACACCAAGCTGTCCGTCAGAGGCTCTAGCTCACGACCAAGTCGCTTTAGTGACATCAGCCCCAAGTCCAGCTCCAAATGACAGATCTGTGACATCACCAACCCACAAGTGAAAGGTGTCCAACTGTTTGCGAGCTCCCACTAAGGAGCGTTTGAGTCATGTGAGCCGAGGACTACTGCACGGATAGAAAGTGACTTTGCTAAGGACTTTAGAGAAGCCAGTCTACTTCATGACCCTTAATTTCCGTTCTCCCTCCATCTTTCCTTCTCAGACGGCTGCGAACAGCTGTGGGCATTCGAGTCGGGCTTACACACCACTCAGCAGGGGAGCACCCACCAGCTAGGAATGACTGACATGTGACAAAGAGGAGAAAGGCATGAAAGACGGGGTGGCAAAGTTCAACATGAAGATGAATGGAAAGAAGAAATCGTCTCACTGAAAATAAAAAATAAAAGGTCTTCAGTGTTATGAAATAATGCTTGAAGGAGATGTGTGAAATCATGGGAAAGAATGGAATTGAATAGCTGTCAATTCAATTCAAAATCGTGTAGATTGTATTGATCTAAAATATCTTTGGTGATGAACTATTCAATATCTGTAAAACATAATGGTGAAAATTAAAAGATACCAATATGAGTTTCAAAATAACAAAACTTAAGAGGCTCCGGGTTTGCTCTTTTGATTGTAGCTGAAAACAAAATCTTGTTTGCATAAATAGTGGCTGGAACACTAGTTGTTCTTGTACTGATACTAAGAATGAAAATGTGCCAGAAACTACCAAGAATGTCAGATGAGGTATTAGAAAGTTTGGCCATGTTTTTTTTATATGTTCTAAATCAACCGTCTACAAATCAGCAATATGAATTATAGCTGCGCTGTTTTAAAAGTGGCACTCTCAAAAAGGTGCTGATCATTTTAAAAGGTTTTTCTTAAAAGAAGGCATTTTTTCATGTTAAAATATAAGTAGGTAAGTAAAGTTTATTTATATAGTGGTTTCAAAAGACAAAAGTCATAAAATGCTTTATAGTTAGAGGGGACCCAAGATAGACCCGGGTGCCCCTTTTTCCACTGCACACATGCTCCTCCGGAGCAAATCCCGTGTATGGTACAGACTTCCCATGCTATGTAGATAACATTCAGTTCTATGGCACATTAAAACCTCATTATGTTCTGTCTGACTGAAAATCAAGAGCTGGAAAACTTCTGCAGCTGAATGATTTCAAATCTGAAATTATTGTCTTTCCTCCCACTACCTTCAGTTCCAGCAGGGGACTTTCTCATGGTTCCTAAATCTTGACTTTTTTTCTAGCAACTATTTATTCAAAGTTTTTTACCGTTTAAAACTTCACTTGTGTCCATATTTTAACTTATAAGATAGGGCTCTAATGCAATCCCCTATCCATGTTTTCTAAATTCACTATCAAAGGCATTTTTACCATTAAGAAAAGTCTTGCAACAAATGTCCCATCACTGCAAGTATTACGCAACAAAATGCAGATATAAACATCAGAAGTGGAGTTATCTTCTTCCTTTCTTTAAAGCTACTGTGAGGAGTTTTTAGCTGCGACTAAAACATACAAAGAATTATACAGAAACCTCAACCTGATCTACAAAAGCAAAGAGACCTATGAACAGTATGCTATAAACAGAATGCCAACAAAATAGCCTTCTTTATTATTTATCAATACCAAAAGGTAATCAAGAGAAAGACACTTGGGTTTTTTGTTGGAAAGCACCAAGATGCATGCAGAGCAAAAGATCAGCAAAGAATTAAGTTTTAAACTATGTTCACAGAAAAGTTCCTCACAGGAGCTTTAAACCCAAGTTGTATAAAAGGAGACTTTATCCTGTCAAAGTGTTACCATATGTGTGACTTAAAAGATTTTTAAGAACACAAATTCTCAAACTCCAACAAAGGACAAAAAGTAATGTCATATCCATGGCAACAAAGCAATTACCTCCGAAGTGTGGAAGGAAACAGGTAATGGAAAAAGATTAAGTGTCTGTGAGATAGTCTAAATCAGCCAAACTAATAAACAGGGCCGCACTTTCTTCCTCATGCACACGCACAACCTATCACGATCTCTATATCCGGTGAGGTGTGGGGAGTTCCTGCACCGCCTGGCAGAATTCAGGAGAAGCTATAACAGTTCTTCCTCGGCCTGGGCAGGTATCCAAACTGCCTCTGCAGGCTTTGATGAAGTGTCCTGTCATGATGTCAGCCTGCATTGCTCTCCAGCTCACCTGGGACCTCCCTCACTCCTAACAACTCCTGGCTCCGAGGAAAGAACTTAAAAAAGGGAAAAAAAAAAAAAAAAAAAAAGGCGGCCTCTTTATCTGCAGATTTTGCTTCTACTTCTTTCATCTCGTCACATTCTTCCCTTAGTTTGCACTTTGGCGGAATGATAACAAAAACTCAAGAGTATGGATTTGTTAATCTCATATCTCCTCTGCTCTCTCCTCCTCTTCTCCTCCTGCTCGCCGGCTGTCAGCAGGTTAAAGAATGGTTCGGCACCGGCGAGGGAGAAACAATTACTCATGGCGCAGGCTGTATAGACATTAGAAGCTCTGTACTCCTCTGCGATCTCAGGGCCATGTGTTTCTAATTAAACGGTGCACTGGTGGAATTATCAAAGCTTAGGATTGCATAATGAGCACTGGCAGAAATCTGCAGCAGCCTATGACACTCTTTGTCTCCAGAGAAGCACAGTGGTTGTGTTAAATTAAAAGGAAAGCCTGTCAATAACTGTTGTCAGGAGAGGATTTATCTTATTTTGTAATGAGAATAAGTTCTAAATATTGCTAAGATCTGAAGTCTGACTGTTGTTAACCAGCAGGATTAAGGGATTCATTCAAGGCTGTTTCTATTCATGAAGACAATTCTGCTTCCCTGCTCGCGTGATGATCACTAACACCTCCCTTGTTTTTTCCTCCTCGCCACTCTTCCTCTGTCATCACACAGCACCAGTTGGCCAACGACGAGCATGGTTGTTTCAGCTCGCCAAATGGAGGCATGCTCGCCCTTACAACGGAGAGACACTTCTGTAATCGACGTCGGGTCAGCTTTTGTGAAACATCACACATGAGCCGGCACACGCGTGTTCGCGGCGCACAAAGGACACTCAAATCCTGGTCTCCATGGTGATTGTTTTAGTGCCCATGTGAACTTGGCCCTCCCCACCCTCCTCCCCTGCATCTGTTTCTGTTTGTTCCTGGTGTTAAAAAAAAAAAAAAAAAAGCATAATTACTTATTCATAACCACATGACTACTTTCATTTTCTACACAGCGCTCTCGGAGCACAATAAAAGACACAATAAATACCACAGCCAGAAAACAACAATCAGGGAGAAGTGCGGGGAACAAACAGTTCTTTGCCTCTTTAAAGAGACGCACTGTTTTGTTAAGGCTGAAGGATTGCTGGAGACATGATTCACATGTTTGCTATTGATGCACACCACCATCACAGCTATGAGCACACTGGCCAAGTTGTAGGTTTACACTTCTCTGGATGAAAGATGCCTGCTTGTTTAGAGCCGTAACAGCCGATTAGAGCACCGAGTCCATCTAGTGGATAAAATGAGAAGCACATGTGGATGTTATGTTTGACTCATCTGTCATTTTACTTCACCATAATCCTGTTATGTTCATGTTTAATGCTTGATCTACACCACTTTAGTGAAAGTGCCACTGCAGCAAATTGGATTCTCAAGAGACATCAGTCGTGTAAACAAATAAGCCTGAACACACTCACAAATGTATACAACTTACTATGAAAAGGAAGGAAGACGCCAGGAGAAATGTGAGGCATGTGTGTCAAAGGCTTAACTCTGTGTTACGAGCAGCATGGATCATATTCTAGCTGAAGAAAACAAATGTGTGTCTATGAGGGTCTCTATGATGGTATGCTCGTTTCAGAGTCATCCAGAGTTTCTCCAACACACACACACACGCACAGCTGTGGTCAGAGTATTGGTGAGACTTTCCCTGCCACACAGAAGAAGCAGTTTACCAATGTCTGCTGAACTGTGGGAAGACCAAACCACACACAGAGTTCAAACTGTCACCAATAAGTTTTTTTGTTTGATAGTTGTGTAGAGTTTAAATCATGTCAAAGAGAAAGCAAAAACAAGAGCCGACTGGAAAAATGGAAAACTTGGTCCTGGTAAGAGTACAAAAGCAAAACAATACCAAGTGATAACTTTGACAACATAACTGCATGACACAAATTTGTAATAGACACAATGCTGCATATGCCATACAGCTTCTACGACAGAACAATAAATTCTGCCCGTGGTTTAAGTTGTTCTTTAGGTCTCTGCAACTCAGAGATGAACTCACGAACTCTGTCTCTATTGCCTGGATTGCGGGACAGGATCGTACTCCACTTTAGCTATTTGAGATGATTGAGGTCCAGTAACTTCTCAAGCTACTCTCACATCTGTAGCCACTGCCTGCCTTTACTTAGGGTGACCATACATCCTCTTTTACCCAGACATGTCCTCTTTTTGGGGGGGCTGTCCGAGCTTGTCCGACTTTGTCCAGGGAAGTTTATAAAATCCTTCAAATGTCTGCGGTTTTGTACGTAAGTTATAAGTTTGTGTCATGTGGACTTACTGAGTTAGAAGCACATAAAAGACACTTGATCTGACACGAAAATCTCAAAATAAACTTTGTGCAACTCTGTGACTCCGCCCTCGCGTAGTCGTGTCCTCATTTGGGGAAGTCAGAATATGGTCACCCTACTGTACTTCACTTTATCCCAACTTCTAAGACCAGTTTGGGACAGATACTAAGCTTGACTATCGTGGCCTGCCTGAACTAACTCTATGCTTTCTTCATTGGTTTAGAAATTTAATTTGTTAAGTAGTTGTGTAATAAGTGGGATAAAGTATGAATTGCGTTATCGCAGAAGAACCCAAAATCAAAATCAAATCTCCTTTTCAAAATAAGATTTAATAGGAGAAAGCTGTGGAAAATTGTTCCCTGTTTTTGTGTAAAAGAACATCTGATAAGCCCCTCCAACTTGGCATCACTTGAGACAAGTCCTCTGCTGTCTGGATTTACTGCAAACTTCTATGAGAGAATAGCAGTTATAGGAACAAATCACAAGTACAAGTCAGTGGTGGAAAAGTAGGAGTGATTATCACAGACTTTTTTATACAGAGTCAGCGGCTTTATTTTATTTATCCTTTTTTTACTGCAGAACAAAAAATTATAAAGGCAAAACTGTGAAACCAGAAATCGCATTTCTTTGTAGTGACACTCACTGACGCGATGTGTGTTTATGTGTGGATTAAATAATGAAATGCAGAGTGAGTGCATAGCTTATTTTTTACATCAGCTGGCTCTAATCTTAACACTTTTACCAAACTCAGTCCATCCAAGCAGAGACTGGCAGTTGACAGCGATATGCTTTTTATCAGCAGGCCTCTTTTAAATATAGCGAAGCTAGCTTTTTTCCCCCTGCCTCCAATTTTGTTTGA